CCCAGGTGTCTCCTCGCACTCCCCCAGGACTTGCCTCTCATCTTGTGTTTGCTTCACAGGGCACCTGTAACTGTGTTGATTAAAGCGCTAATCTGGGTGAAATATATTTACTGTAAGCCTGTCAAGCAGGGACCTTTGTTTGTACATTTACTTTGCAAGTAGCAGAATAACAAGACTGGCTTCTGCTTTGCTGCAGTACTTCCTTTCTTAGGAAACCAGGAGCAAAAAAAGCCACACACAGTGGTACATGCCTGTAGTTCCAGCTACTATTTGGGACGCTGAGGTAGGAGGATGACTTGAGCTCAAGTGTTTAAGCCCAGCCTTAACATCATAGGGAGACCCATGTCTCTAAAAAACAAAAAAGAAACCAGGACCTTGCATGATCCAACATTGCACTGTGGTTGACAGTTGTTTTTTTTGAGCCGGCTTCTCACTCAGTTGCCCAGGCTAGAGTGAGTGCCGTGGCATCAGCCTAGCTCACAGCAACCTCAAACTCCTGGGCTCAAGCAATCCTCCTGCCTCAGCCTCCCGAGTAGCTGGGACTACAGGCATGTGCCACAATGCCTGGCTAATTTTTTCTATATAATTTTTAGTTGTCCAGTTAATTTCTATTTTTAGTAGAGACAGGGTTCCGCTCTTTCTCAGGCTGGTCTCGAACTCCTGAGCTCAAAGGATCCTCCCACCTCGGCTTCCCAGAGTGCTAGGATTACAGGTGTGAGCCACGGCACCCAGCCGACATCTTGTTTTAATGGCACGAGTGTTAGGGGCTGTGGCCTTTCTGAGGCAGTTAATGTAAGAATTTTGATAATAATGGAGTTAATATTTATAAGTTTTCAACAGATGCATCCTGGACAGACCTGGCATTTGATAACAATTGAGTCATCTGACGTAGGAGTGAGGAACGAAAGGCAGCATGCAAGGCTGACGTTGCCAGTGGCCAGTAACCTTGAAGATACCTTACCCTGCTCATTAAGAACAGCAGTGTACCCATCTCTCAGTAACACCAACTATAGTCATTTTTTTCTTCTAGCTTTGGAACAGATTGCTGCTGCTTCAGTTGAGCACCAGATGACTTAACTTGGCTATGTTTAGGGGGCATGTTGAACAAAAGACTTTAAATACTAGAATTTAGTTTAGTTTAATGTGTTTTAGTAAGTATTTAGTAAGAATTTAGTAAGTTTAATGTGTGTATGATGAGTCTCCACTGTGAATCTCAAAAGTAATAGCTTTATTTTCCTTATTAGCTCAGAGCTTCTTATATAATCTCATCATCTGTGTCACTCATTATTACAAAAAATTAAGCACAAAGTTAAGCACAAAATTAAGCACACAACCAAGTAGCTAACAAGACAACAGGTTTCCCTTAGATGAGAATAGTATAAGTGTTCAGTGAAATCCTGTTTGGGGCAGGGTACAGTGGCTTATACCTGTAATCTTAGCATCCTGGGAGGCTGAGGTGGGAGGATCACTTGAGGCCAGGAATTTGGGACCAGCCTGAGCAAGAGCAAGACCCTGTCTCTACAAAAAATTGAAAAATTAGCTGGGCATGGTGGCAGGTGCCTGTAGTCCTAGCTACTCAGGAGGCTGAGGCAGGAGTATCACTTGAGCCCAGGAGTTTTAGTGAACTATGATGAAGCCACTGTACTCTAGCCAGCAAGAAAAACCGTGTTGCCTTTGGAATGATGTCTCTTTTGAAGACTAACAGTAGCTACTGTTGATTACGCTTTGTTTGTCCTAGCTGTTTTACATCTGTCATCTCATAATCCTCAGAACCCTGAGAAGTAGGTATTATTTTCATTTTTCTGACACAAGAAACTCTCAGCATGTACACACCTTTCATTAATACATTTATTTATTCAGTAGATAATATGTGGAACCATATGAAATTGATGATATCCCACATTTTTTGACATATGAAAATAATTTTTGAGTGCAAAGGTCTTTTGTGTTTGTATGTACCTTCCATACAAAGCTCCAGGCACCATAGCGTGGATGTGGTCACTAAAGCTATGGTCCCTGGCACTGCTGCTTCAGAGCTGCCGCACACCTTTAGGCTTTGTAGGGAAGGGGCTTGGGCCAGTCAGAATGAGGTCACTTGTCTCCAAAAATTAGTTTAGACCTTATCAGCTCTGACCTGGTGTGTGGGTTATGGGTTAGTTAGTCATCAGCTTAGTATGTATTAAAGCACTTTTTAAAACTAATTTGTTCAACAGTACTCATCAAGTGCTTACTGTGTGCTGTGAACCAGGGTAGGTAGATAAAATATACCCTCCAGGAGCTCATAGTCTAGACTAGGAGAGTCTCTCCCATTTCTGAACTGCCTGTATTTTCAGATAATTAACTCAGATGGTAGGTAGCACTTGTAGCCAAGGTAAAAAGGGATGTCTCTTAGCCAGCTGTATACCCCTAAACCCAACGGAATGGTTAATGCTTATTTAATATTCAGAGTTCAGAGACAGGGACTTTGAGCTAGGGCTGCCTTTCACCATCATACTTAACCTTCTCCAGATCCTGCAACTCCTTGTTGAGCAGCCATTTTTGTTAGCATGACTCCACAGGGAGAGGTACCAGCAAGTTCAAGTCTTAGATTACTCAGGACAGGGTTCCTGGTGGCTTCAGACCAGGCTCTTGAAGGGAGATCCTTTTGCAGGCCTGCTTCTGAGTCCCTCTTATGATGGCTGTTTGTGGTCTGAAGATTCCAAGAAATAAAAAGAATTATGTTTGAATACACGTCTGTCCTGTAGGTGGTTTAGTGCAGTAGTGAAATAAGACCCTTTTGCTATCTTAGAATAGTACAGATTTTCTTCTTTTTTCATTCATGGGGTAAAGAAGATAAGCAGCAGTATTTCTTGAGCACATATAATCCCTGGGATTTTGCTAGGCATCCAGTACGAGTTACCTTATTTAATCTTCACAACAGGCAAGAGAGAAGGGTATCTTATCTCTGTTTTCCAGATGAGAAAACTGGCTCAAAAAGGTTAAGTCACTTACCAAGGTCACATAGTAAGTGGTAGTCAGGATTTGCAGGGGGCTCCAAGCTTATACTCTGTCCCTTCCATCTAAGGAAGACCACCTTCAAAAAAATACAAACAGAAAAGATTTTTTTTGCGTCCTCCCACAACCTTGTCCATGGTGAGAATCTTTGTGGCATTAGTCAGAGGTCATCCGTGATTGAGTTGTTGAGTGAGTTGTTGAGGGAGCTCAGGGTGCCAAGTAGAAGGGCGTCATGTTTGGGCCTTTCTCTTAGAGCTTTCCTCCCCTGTGCCTTTGGTGGCAGTGAGTACAACAAGCTCTGTTCTAGGAATCTGCACCCAGGTCTTAGCTGTGCTACTTTCTAGCCATGTGCAGTGGACAAATCACCCTATCCATCTTGGTTTTCTTCCTTTGGAAATAAGAATCCAGTCATTCATCATACATGTATTGAATGCCTATGATTAGCTGAGATCTGTGCTAGCTATGCCCACCTGGGGCACCTACGGATAGGACAACAGTTCAGCCCTTAAGGAGCTTGCAGTCTTATGACTGAGACAGCTGGGTAGCAAGTTAATTGCAGTATCCTGTATGAATTCCATAGGGGTGGGAGGTGGTACCTAAAGTAGCCAAAGGAGGGGAGGTCAGGAAAGTGAGTTGGAGGAAATGCCAATCCCAAGTTTTTGCTGGGAGGATTCTATGAAATCAAACGTGAGAATGATTGTAAATGGAAGAACTTTTTACAGATTTAAGCTGGCATCATGTTTCACAGATTTTTTTCTGACAACTTTAATGAACTGGGCTTATGTGATTCTTCTCCAATTAAGGCTGGCATAATAACTTATGATACAAAGAGAGGATTAACTCTATTAGTTCTGCATTGCTACCGGGGACCTGTGGTAATCTAGGATCCTGAATATAGTCTCTTTTTTGAGACTGCCCTGAGCAGAAGTGAGCTGTGAAGACGATTACTTTGAGTAGTTGAGAGCCGTCCTCTCCCTTTGCAGGTGTTACAGCACATGAAGGCCGTGCAGGCGGATCAGGAGCGAGAGAGGCAGCGGCGGCTGGAAGTGGAACGAGGTGGGTGGCCATCCCTCTTCCAGTGTCTTCCAAGTCCTTATCCCACCCAGCAGATTCTTGGGCTTTGGGAGCTGAGATCCAGTGAAGAGTCATGAAGAGCAGTTGTGAGGAGAGGGGGACAGCGTGGTAGTAGATGGCATCCTCTTTATCAGACGAATCTCTCTCCAGTCCTGCCTTCTCTGCTGAGCTCCAGCATCGTGTTCAACTGTTTGTGTTGGTCTCTGCTTGGAGAGTTAATAGGCATCTCACATTGAATGTGGCTAAAACAGACTCCTGGCCCCCCCCCCCTTCACTCCCTCCCAGCATTCCCCCATAATAGGAAGTTATTTCAAGCCTGAAATAGGAAAGGTATCCATGATTCCTTTCTTTTGTAATTCCCATATCCAGTCTGTCAGCAAGTCTTGTATGGGACAGTTTCTGCACTTCCAGTGCCACGTCTGTAACCAGCCTGCCCTACTGAGGACTACCAGAGTGCCACCCAACATGTCTCCATGATAGCACCATCGCCATAAACCCATTCTCTACATAGCAGCTTGGAGATCTCTGTAAAACATAAATCAGTTACACATAATTGCTTAAAACCCTCTAATGGTGTCCCATTTAACTTAGAATGAAATCCAAACTTGTTGACATGGCCAATAAGACCCATCTTGGCCGAAGCCTGCTCACCTACTTTCCGGCCTTGCCATTAACTTCAGCCACACGAGTGAGCCTCTGCTGCTGCTTGAACACACCAATGCTAATCCCACTTCAGGGGCTCTGCTTGGTTTCCTCTTCCTGCAGTGTCTGGCTTCCTGTAATCCCTTGTCTCTGCTGAAACGTTGCCTTGGGTTAACCTTAACCCTATCAGAACCACCCTCACTAGAATGGCTATCCTACCTATCACTCACCACATACCCTCTGCTGTTTTCTTTATAGCACAGATAACTGTCATCTTGACTCTGTTCATTTGTTTATTGTCTGTCTTCCTGACTAGTAAATAACATAGGCACTAGAATCTGACCTGTCTTCTCCACTGCTGCATCTTGAGCACTTAGAATAATTCCTGGCCTGGCATGGTGGCTCACACCTATAATCCCAGCACTTTGGTAGGCTAAGACGAGAAGATCTTGTGAAACCAGGAGTTTGAGGCCAGGCAGGGCAATGCGATGAGACAGTGTCTGTATAAGAGAAACAACTCCTAGCACATAGCAGGGGCTCAGTTGACTGGCTGGCAGATTTCTGAGCCCCCTTAGTGGAGGACTACTGTGGTCAGAGAAGAGATAGATGTGTACAGTTCTGATTACAGGCAGTCCCTGAGATCAAGATGCCAAGTTACAGCTGTCCTTTATTGTGCATGGCCACGGTGGCAAGACTTGCCCATATTTACTCTGACCCCTGCTGCTTTCACTTCCTGACAGCACATGTTCCCTAGAGGCTGGGTGTAGCGTGCTCTTGGCATTCTCAGTGCCCAGCTGGAAATTGGAGCGTGTTTGTACATAGAGAAGCAGTGGAAAGCTACAGTACTTACAGTACTACTATTCAGCTATATTATGGTTCACATAGTCTTTTAAGCCCTAAAAGGACATTTAACTGCCATTTGTGGCATTCTGGCTTTGGAAAAATGTATTTCAGATTTCTAAATAACTAATTTGGAAGTGCATTTTTAGAACCCAATAATTTGGAAGTTGTAATTTGGAAGTTTGTAAACATACTTGGGCTGTTAAGTAAATCTGAATGTGTTCTTGAGTTCAAGTCTCAGATTCCTGAGTTCGAGTCTAGAGATTAATGAAGTATTAGTCTCACTGTTTTAGAACAACGTTGCCATTGTCTCTAACCCTAAACTTGAGTGCTCATTCTGTCTTTTCACTTGCCTTCCTTATACCATATTCATTTCTGAAGCTTGAGAAGATAGGAATCCCATAGATTCAGCACTGCCATGGTTTCTTCTCTTCACAGCTAAGTTCTAGAAGGCTGTCAATTACTGTGCCTTCTGAGTTAGTACTGAATTCTAGAGGAGCCTATGTATCACTCATGTCTTTTGTAGGTTCCCCCTTGTTATTGTGCCCTAATCTCTGCTGTCTGGGGCCCGGGACTCCTCCATAAGAATACACTCACCAAACCCTGAGAGCAGCTTATTGTATTTTAGGGAGGGTTACTTCCTGGAAAGCAGAAAGGTGGCTGTTTTCTTTGACTATTTCTTACATGACCCATGGCACAAGGGAAAAGGCAGCTGAATCTATATTTTTAATCACTTGGGAAAACAAACTGCTGGAGGGTTTTAGGGATAGAGGTCACCTTTCGGTATATTTTGTTGTAGAGGCAGAAAAGAAGCGTGAGGCCAAGCAGCGAGCTAAGGAAGCTCAGGAACGGGAACTGCGGAAGCGGGAGAAGGCAGAAGAGAAGGAGCGTCGGAGAAAGGAGTATGATGCCCTCAAAGCAGCCAAGCGGGAGCAGGAGAAGAAACCTAAGAAGGAAACAAATCAGGCCCCGAGTAAGTTTTCTTTCTGTTGTAAGTTTCCAGGAGGGGTGCAGTGGAGAGACTCGCTTGTTTTCAGGCCTAGATGAGCGAGGAGCGAGCCTGCAAACCTTAGATAAACTGTAAAGCCTTGGAGTAGCATGGGAGAGTGTGAAGGAAACGAGGCCTGGGAGTTTGGTTACAGGGAATGGGGACTCTCGTGGGGAGATAGTACCCAGCTGGTTTGTTTCCCCAGTGCCCACATATTTCTGTTCAGATATTTTGGTCAAGCGTGTCTTGGAGCATTCCCAGAACAGGGAGTCTCAACAGGGGTGAGGTTCTAAAGTCACTGATATAGGCAAAGGTCACACATGGTCAAGTTACTTTTAAAAGTCTCTCATAGGCTGGGCACGGTGGCTCACGCCTGTAATCCTAGCTCTCTGGGAGGCCGAGAGGGCAGATTGCTCGAGGTCAGGAGTTCGAAACCAACCTGAGCAAGAGCAAGACCCCGTCTCTACTATAAATAGAAAGAAATTAATTGGACAACTAATATATATAGAAAAAATTGGCCGGGCATGGTGGTGCATGCCTGTAGTCCCAGCTACTTGGGAGGCTGAGGCAGAAGGATCGCTTGAGCCCAGGAGTTTGAGGTTGCTGTGAGCTAGGCTGATGCCATGGCACTCACTCTAGCCTGGGCAACAAAGCGAGACTCTGTGTCAAAAAAAAAAAAAAAAAGTCTCTCATAGCACAGTACATTGGCATGTGCCTGTAGTCCCAGCTTCTTGGGAGGCTGAGGGCTGAGGCGGGAGGATGGCTTGAACCCAGGAATTTGAGACCAGTCTGGGCAACATAGTAAGACACTGTCTTTAAAAAAAAAAGTCAGTCCCTCATATCATTTCTGAAGTATACTGGGTGTTTTGAGTATATGGTATAGTCTCTGTAAAACCAGCAGTGTCTGTGTTTTTTCCCCCAAGTCAAAACAGGTCACTCTCTCTGCTTGAACACCAGAGGAATCATTTGGTCTGTATTCAGGGAGCCACAATGTATAGAAAAACATTTTTGTGTTTTGCCTGAATATGTCCAATTGAATTCATGTAGTGATGTGGCTAAATACTAGGGAGGGTTGTATACCCTCTGGGTCAAAAGGGACCATCTGAGGGAGTCATGTGAGGGTTGGGAACTCTGTATAGATGGTGGAAACTTTGTCCCTCTCCCGCTCACCCTTGCCTTGAGCAAGTTGCTAAATCTCACTTTTTTATTTCCTTGTTGAAAATGAAGATCATAATTACAGGGTAGTGATAGGGTTAAATGAGCAAACAGGATCATGCAGTTCCTGGCATTGTAGATGCTCAGTCAAGTTTTTAAAAATTTTGCCCAAAAATCTCAAAGCCAGTTTTTTTCTATTTATTTTATTTTATTATCTTTTTTTTTCTGAGACAGAGTCTCGCTTTATTGCCCAGGCTAGAGTGAGTGCCTTGGCATCAGCCTAGCTCACAGCAACCTCAAACTCCTGGGCTCAAGCAATCCTACTGCCTCAGCCTCCTGAGTAGCTGGGACTACAGGCATGTGCCACCATGCCCATCTAATTTTTTCTATATATATATTAGTTGTCCAATTAATTTCTTCCTATTTATAGTAGAGACAGGGTCTCGCTTCTTGCTCAGGCTGGTTTCAAATTCCTGACCTGGAGCTATCTGCCCGCCTCGGCCTCCCAGAGTGCTAGGATTACAGGCGTGAGCCACCATGCCTGGCCAAAGCCAGTTTTTTTCTAATTAAAAATGTAATGTATGTTCATTGCATAGAATTTAGAAAACACATATATATCAGGAAATAGCAATTGCCTGTAATCCCTATTCCTAGCAAAAATCCCCATTTACAGTATGTTGTATTACTGTCCAGGCTTTCTTTTTATATATGTATTACATAATAGTGGCATTAATGATAAATCTCCATTTCCCCAAGTATGCAGCACTCTGTCCATGCTTGATACCTCCTGATAAGGCCCCCCTCCCCCCCTCGGTGTTCCCAAGAGGCCTGAGTCATCACCTGTTACCAAGGAGAACTTAGGACGCTAGGGACTGTGAGCTACCTGAGACTTGCAGAATGAGTCCCAGTTTCGAATGTACTCCCTTGAGATTCAAGGGAAAAGGCGTTCTGTTCCAGTCTCTGGACAGCAAAGTTTTAAGAAGTCATATTCTTTTTTTTTTTTTTTTTTTTTCAGGCTAGAATGCTGTGGCGTCAGCTTAGCTCACAGCAACCTCAAACTCCTGGGCTCAAGTGATCTTCCTGCCTCAGCCTCCCGAGTAGCTGGGACTACAGGCAGGCATGCACCACCATGCCTGGCTAATTTTTTCTATATATTTTTAGTTGGCCAATTAATTTCTTTCTATTTTTAGTAGAGATGGGGGTCTAGCTCTTGCTCAGGCTGGTTTCGAACTCCTGACCTGGAGTGATCCTCCTGCCTTGGCCTCCCAGAGTGCTAGGATTATAGGCCTGGGCCACTGCACCTGGCCAGACATTCTTTTTTTTTTTTTTTTTTTGAGACAGAGTCTCGCTTTGTTGCACAGGCTAGAGTGAGTGCCGTGGCGTCAGCCTAGCTCACAGCAACCTCAAACTCCTGGGCTCAAGCAATCCTTCTGCCTCAGCCTCCCGAGTAGCTGGGACTACAGGCATGCGCCACTACGCCCGGCTAATTTTATATATATATATTAGTTGGCCAATTAATTTCTTTCTATTTATAGTAGAGACGGGGTCTTGCTCTTGCTCAGGCTGGTTTTGAACTCCTGACCTCGAGCAATCCACCCGCCTCGGCCTCCCAGAGTGCTAGGATTACAGGCTTGAGCCACCGCGCCCGGCCCAGACATTCTTAAAACACTTTTCTCTTCTGGATCTGGGGCATCTTGGCTTGAGGAGGGGATGTAAGTGGATGTGCATGGAGGGCACACACAGAGATTGGTAGAATGGCTCTCCTTAAACTGACCGATCTTGTTTTCTCTACTGTGATTTTGGCCCTCCAGAATCTAAGTCTGGCTCCCGTCCCCGCAAGCCACCTCCCCGGAAGCACACTCGATCCTGGGCCGTGCTGAAGCTGCTGCTGCCGCTGCTGCTGTTATGTGTGGCAGGTGGGCTGGTTGCTTGTCGGGTGACAGAGCTACAGCAACAGCCCCTCTGCACCAGTGTGAACACCATCTATGACAACGCCGTCCAGGGTCTACGCCGCCATGAGATCTTCCAGTGGGTCCTCCAGACCGACTCTCAGCAGTGAGCTTGTCCTCAGTACCTGCTGCCTCCCAGCCTTGGAGCTTGGATTCCTATGGAATTGGGTTCTGCTGGACACAACCTCTTTTTAGCATCAGACCTACCTGCCACCATCAAATGGCTGCTGATTGGTACTTGAGACCTCCTCTTCGTAGGACTTCTCTGTTCCTTAGTCAGGGTTCCCTGGTGGAATGAGGAGAAATGGGAGGTGGGGGGAACAGTTATCTGCATGCCTAAAGGAATAGGCTTGGGGATGGGGAGAGAGAAAACATAGCCTTTTCTAGTTGTTATACAAAGCTGTGTAAAGGCAAGGCTCGTTTCTACTAAATGGTCAGCTGTTACTACATTTATACTTTTGTATGTCACAAACCCTTTCATTCCTCCCTGGGTAACCAGGGCAGATCAGGAGGAAGTGTTACTGGGGACTGGGGGTACACCACACTCAGCAAATCCAGCGTAAATTGGGGGGAGGGTATACCTATTTTCTGAAGGACTTCAGAAACTTAAACATTTTAAGAACCACAGAAAATATCTGGCTGTCAAAGGGACTTCACGGCCATCCAGTCCAATATAACATTTGCAGACAGAAAAATGGAGGCCTTCCATGACTTGCCTATAGTCTCCCAGCTAGTTTCAGGCAGAACTAGATCCCACTCTGATATTCTTTCTTTCCTTTACATCATTATGCCACCTTTATGATGTCCTGAGAACAGAACTCACACCAGAATTGAATATGTCTCAGCCAAAGTATAGAATCTTTCATGGTAGATAGACTCAAGACTCACAAGTAGAAATCTCATGCCACCAGGGTAAGGCAGCTCCTATGGAGTCCTGCCTCAACTTATGTGGCTTCCATAGAATGGCAGCAGTCCAGGCACCTTGCCTCAATTTTAGAGCATTAATCCCATATTGCCAGTAAGCTGGGAGGTGGATCTCTGCAAAGCCACATTGTCTGACAGCTCTGTTAGTACTTGGTGTGACTAAATACGTCAAAGGCATCCTGCTTTTGCAGGATTTGAAGTATCAGCTGGTTGCTTCACAGACACTGAGGTTCAGAATTATTTGATTCTAGACAATAACTGAGGGGAGTGAATGAAGGGAGACAAGTAGTATCATGGAGCTGAAAAGCAGTGCATCAGCACAAGTAAGGGCAGTACTGGCCATCCTCCTGTCTGCTAGATTAAGCATTTCCTTGCTTCCTTTTCCTCATTTTTTGACAACAGCTGGATGGAGGGATCAGACATGATTGTGTCTTGGTGCTCATTCACTGAAAACTCCCAGTTGCAAGCTCCTTGCCTCTCCCTGGAAGGAGCAAGAACCTGTCATAGTTCAGAGACAAAGAGAGCAGGGTCCAGCCATTTAGCCCTAGTGGCCCCTTTGGCTAGGCCTGCTGAGTACTCATGACCGTCCTGATACTGGAAGAAAGGACTTTGTTAATCTTCTCCCCCAAGGATAGTTCTGCTGCCTATGTCCATACCTTACTCAGAAATCACTACACATTCCTTTAGTCTTCCTCCAAGCTCCAGAGCCATTGATATAAATGCTTTATTGAAACTAAATACATAATACATAAGATGAGATTAAGACAATATAGAAGTCAGCATAACCATCATACCCTGCTCCTTGGCTGGTTGAGGCATCTCAGTGGCTGAGCCTAGTCACGACGCCAACCCACAGGCGATAGTTCACTCATGACTTCAAGATTTGATGATGATTCTTTTGGATTTCTACAATTATTAAATATATGTCTGAGTGGTCCGTCTTTGTTCCTTTGTATTTTGAGGGCTGGCTGGGACAGGGGTAACATGGTTTGTCCATCACAACTGATTTTTGCTAGGACAGGCACATTAAATGCTGTAGATGTAAGGACCTCAGTCTTCTCCCCAAGTTGACAGGAAGGGAGACTTTGACAAGTAATGAAACCCACAAAAGACTTGTGGGCCTCGGCCAGGCTTGTGCTCCAGGAGGGACTGCCAGTCTCCCTCGCTGCAGTCTGGCTCTGAGGTTGGGGAGGTGGAAATCTCCAGCTTTTCACCCTTGTCCCTGAGTGCTAGCATCCATCAGCACTGTCTAAAGAGAGATCTGGTTGTAAAGTGGTCATTTGAAGGTAGATACGCCTGGACAGCTCTGGTCCAACACGGCGGGAGGTAGACGTCACACCTTCCCCACGGCGCACTTGTATGTTTGCAAGCAAATTCTGGCGTTCTTGCTCCGAAAAACACTGCTGATAAGCCTGAAAGGGGTAAATGACCTCTTAATACTGTACCATCCATGTTCATCTCTTGTCTATGAGCAAGGAGGGTGCTAAGTCTGGGTTGGGGGATGAGAACCTGTCCTTCCTGGCTGGGTCAGCGTTAACAATTCTGATCTTAGCAGACCTGCACTGCTGACCTACAAAACCTCCTTGGGCCTTCAATAGTGCTGTCTGTGGAAATCATCTGGGGTCCTGCTGAGACCACAGGGTGCTGGGCGGTGACCCTGGAGCAGCATACCTGTACCAGGAGTTGTGGGGAGGGATAGACATCCACAACAGCACTGGCCATGTCCAGGCTGACTCGGTTTAGCTGCTGAATCTGTCTTCTCCAGACCAGTGCAAGTCCCCTGCCAGCGCGATCCACCTTCGCCCCTCCAGCCCAGTCACTCTCCACGTAGAAGGAGAAGCTAGTTTGATCTCGGAGCTTCCTGCAGATGGCACAGTTAGAGAGCTGTGAGTTACCTGTTGCTCACCTGTACCTTTCCCTAAACTGGGAACTGAAAAACCCTCCTGGACGTGATGTGTGTGGCCTATTTAAGCCTTCAACAATTTGAGTGTTCACTTTGTTCCCAAGCATAGTGCCAGTTAGTGATTCCCTTAAAAACTGCATCTAGTTCTCTGCATTAGAGGAGGTACCAGATTCTTTTGCTTATGTTGAGATGAGGTTGTGTTGCTCAGGAAGGCAGCGTGCACAGGGTAAGCACAAAGGACTGGATATCTGGCAACCTGGAGTCTGTTTCTGGTTGTTCTAACTTGCTAGGAGCCTAGACAAGTCAACCTCTTCAGGCCTTCATCCCCTCAACGGACTTGGACTGGATTGTCCTTTGTTAATTTTAAATTCTGCTAATTTAAAATTTAACAAATTTAATTTTATTTATTTTTTTTTCAATTTTTTTTTTACACACACCCACACACACATACTCACACTCACACTCACACAAGATCCAAATTTAATTTTAAATTCTTAGAGGTCCTTTGTTAATTTTAAATTGTGACCATGAACACTCAACTTAAGTAGGCTAAAAATTTCCTTTACTAGGGATTACTACATTATGATCTGATCTGTCATCAATCCTAGGAACTTGGCCGACTGGTAACCCAGTGCCAAACTGCAGAACACATAGTTACACATAAGCTAGAGGAGAGTATTTTAAAAGGGACTGGGCCTGGGGGCTCTTCCTAAAAATCTACAGCATCAGGTCAGCTCCTTCTGTCTCAAGCTTGAGAAACAATGGGCTGACTGCAAAGATTAGGGGAAAGGGACATTTTCTTTGGCTGTTAACCGTTGTAAAGGACAAGGCCCAGCATGGAGGCTGGACTTGCTGGGGGTGCTCACTTGAAGGGTGCCTCTGCCACAGCCTTTGTGAATGAGCATGTGAAGTCGGCCAGTTCTTTCCAGCTCTGCACAATTTGAGCCTGGGCTTCTGTGTGTAGCTGCAGATCCACCAATGCCTGGAAACCCAAAAGCAATAATGGATTGTAAGAGTAGAGAGAGACTAGCTGGAAGTGTTACTGTTCACTGAAACCACACCCCAGCCCCTTGGATCCCTGTTGGGCCCCTTCTCTCCTACTTGGTGCAAAGGCAGAAAGCAGTGTGCAATGGGCATTTTATTCTCTATCAATAGCAAATCTGGTTAGATGACCAGTGGGTACCCAGCCTGACTCAGGCAACAGGAAGTTCTTACCTCTTCCACATCTACCCTGGACACCACAGACCCCAAGGTAGCCTTTGGTTGTCTCTGTTGCTGCTTCTGCTTGGCCTGTTTGTTTGCCACTCCCTGTTTCCTTCTCCTTGGGGGATTCTGAGCACTGGAGCAGGGGAGGAAATGAAAGGACAGCAGCTCCAGGTTGAGCTCAGACAGAAGTGCTGCAAGAAGACTGGATCAGTGCATCCCACAAGGCTTGCCAGGGGTGCTGCCTTGCAGAGTGATCCACATCTGGGATGAACAAACTCAACCCAGTTGGCCCAAGAGCTGCCCCTTCTAACACTAAATCCCCAGGGCAAATCCAAACCTGAAGCACTTCTCCGGATCCACAATCACCAGTGACAGAGCTTTCCCGGCTGTTCTTGCTGTGGTGTCAGTTACAAAGCCCTGAAGTGTTTCCTTCCCTTTCTCAGTGTTGCCCAGACTTCCCTGCACGAAGGAGCAGAAACTGCATTAATACTTGCTCCCTAGCAAGAGTCGGCACTCTGTTCCATGCCTCAGCCCCCACCCCTCTGGCTCTGCCCACCTGTTTTAAGTTGTAGATCATGGATACAAACGCCTCTGCCAGAAGCAATACCAGGACCATTGGCTCCTCCACCCAGTCCTCACCATCCTGCCAAAGGGCCCGGAACACAGCACAGGGAGGGAGGTCAGCAGGTGGTGAGCACCTGTGAGTGTGGCCCAGGTCTTCTGGGTGAATGAGCTCACTCCCGCCCCTCCCCCTCGTGCATTATCCCTTTTCTTCTAGAATGAAGTCATGGAGGCAAGAAACAACCACCCATGATCCTGTCTTTTCCCAGTCCTCAATTGTTTAACCTGGTGGCCTGCATCTCACAGATGGTGAGTAAGAAGGAACATCAGCAAGTTGAAAGGGACTGAGAAGTAACTGCTAATTTCTTCTATGCATTTTGAATAGGGAAGTGGAGGGACAGGAAACTCCTCCAAAGGATTAGTCCAAGTAAATGACTTCAAATGCTTTGAAGGCAGATGCTGTGAGCTGAGTGCCCCTTCCTAACATACAGGTTTTGTGTGGCAAAGCTAAGAATCAAAAGGGAAACTTCCTCTGTGAAAGCACCTCCTCTTTATCATAGCTAGGGCGTTATCACACAAAGCCAAGGCTGCCTGAAGGCCAAGAATCCTACAGCAGATGGTATCACGGAGTAACTGGGGAGCAGGAAGTTTTCTGATTGGGTCTCTATCTGCAAAAGCAAGACTCTTACTGCAGCAAAGCACAGGAGGGAGGAGCTCTTTCTTGAGTTCCAGTTCTGGCTGTGATCCTTAACTAGGCTTTTAACTTCGCTAAGCCCCCGTTGCCCTACCTGTGATGTGCGGAGTATTTCTACCTTATAGGATAAGTGCAACTGAAACACAAACAGAATGTGGCAGTGCTTTGCTCTATGAATACAAAAGTTTGCTAACAACTCTAAAATAAAAAGTGTGGGTAAATGTCCCAAATTACTGTGAAAGTTTTAAGATCTGAAAAAGAGGGAAAAAATGTTAATGTATCATCTATAAACTTTTTTTTTGAGACAGAGTCTCACTTTGTTCCCAGGCTAGAGTGAGTGCCGTGGCATCAGCCTAGCTCACAGCAACCTCAAACTCCTGGGCTCAAGCAATCCTGCTGCCTCAGCCTTCCGAGTAGCTGGGACTACAGGCATGAGCCACCATGCCCGGCTAATTTTTTTTTCTCTATATATATTAGTTGTCCAATTAATTTCTTTCTATTTATAGTAGAGACGGGTCTCACTCTTGCTCAGGCTGGTTTTGAACTCCTGATCTTGAGCAATCCGCCTGCCTCAGCCTCCCAGAGTGCTAGGATTACAGGCGTGAGCCACCGCGCCCGGCCACACAATAAGAATTTTATACATGAGGTCAACTGAAGCCCAAAGATTTGTAATAACTGGCCCAGGGTTATTACAATAAAGCAATAGAGCCACAGAATTGGGATTCAAACACAAGCCTCCCCATTCCCACAGCCTAGCTAAAGAACTAGGAATCCTGTGTGGATTATCTCCCCTCTGCCCACTCTGCTCTCTGCCTGAGGAGGTGATCTCTCCAGACATTAAAAGGTCCATATGTCTTCTGGCTCCCAGCTGGGTGTGACCAGTGGGAAACCTCAGTAGGGGATTGGAGGGAAGGAGGAGAGTGAAATCAGGATATTTTTTCCCCTGGTTTCCTCCCAAAGGGGTCACCTAGGGTTTACTGTACCCCTCTACTGGAGGTCAAGTCTTCTCTCAAGGTGGCCCTATCTGTATTTCTCCCTCCTCCTGGACTCTGCTAATCACTCCTTCCCTTTATCCCTTCGGGCAAAGGGATGGTAACAGTTATGTCAGTGGTTCTCAACCAGGGGCAATTTTTCCCCACAAACGACATTGGCAATGTCTGGAGACATTTTTTTTTTTTTTTTTTTTGAGACAGAGTCTCGCTTGTTGCCAGGCTAGAGTGAGTGCCATGGCATCAGCCTAGCTCACAGCAACCTCAAACTCCTGGGCTCAAGCAATCCTCCTGCCTCAGCCTCCCGAGTAGCTGGGACTACAGGCATGTACCACCATGCCCAGCTAATTTTTTCTATATATATTAGTTGGCCAATTAATTTGTTCTATTATAGTAGAGACGGTCTCGCTCTTGCTCAGGTGTTTCGAACTCCTGACCTTGAGCAATCCGCCCGCCTCGGTCTAGTGCTAGGCATTACTAGGCGGTGAGCCACCTCGCCCGGCCTGGAGACATTTTTGATTGTCATGACCAAGAGGAGTGCTATTGGCATCCAGCAGGTAGAGGCCAGGGATGCTGTTGTGAATTGTTGATACTGTGATATTGTGAATCACAATATAATGTTGACATTGTGAATCACAGTACAGCCCCCACAACAAAGAATTAAAATGTTAATAGTACTGAGGTCAAGAAACCCTGAATTATGCTGTTATTACCCTGAGGTACTGGGCTGTCCCTTATAGTTTCCTTGTACCCTACCCATGCCTTGGAAAACAGTCCCTTTACTAAATCTTCCTCAAATTATCCTAGGTGGAATGTGCCATCTGTTTTCTGCTGGGGCCCTGACTGATATATATTCTTTCCAAAACATATTTATCCTGTAAGTCTAAGGGGAGGAGAGATGTCAGCCAGAAACCCCCTACCTCAGATGGCCCAGTCCTCCTCCTCCAAGTGATACTGCAAGGCACAGCCTGCGCCTCAATCACACAGCAGCACCCCATGGACTGCAACGCTCCGAGGAGCTGGCCCCCACCTTCCATCTGTAAAAGCACTGCAACAGATGGGAAAGGGACTGTCAGTGGGTGGTCCAGAAAGCAGATCACTCAGCAAAGGGTGAAGACAGATGCTAGGAGGACCTGGATCCAGCACCACAATGATGTGTTTCAAGCATTCCTCTGGCCTCTGGGATTTCAGCCTGTTAGCCAGTGCTGCCTTCTTCTTTCTTTCCTGTTGTCTCAGGGTGCTTTCCTTCTGGCTTTCTTGTCCCTGCTGCTGGCATCCCTGTGAGCCTCTTCCCTGGACCTTCTGACTATGCTTGGTTTTCTTCTGAGGTGGGAGGATGTCAGAATTTGTTTTGGCTGCTGTCAAGCTGTTGCTCTGGACAGGGCAGGTAGACTCATAGGCTGGAAGCTGATGGCACGGATTGTCTAAGATAGGGTCCTTGTTATCTGATGCACTCCTCTCTGGCGTATCATGCAGGGGAACTTCAGGGATCTTTGGAAAGGGCTGCTTTTTCCAGTCACTTGATGTTCCTTCATTATTTTGATGGTCCAAAACACTTTTAACTGGGGAGCTAGAGTCCTCAGGGCTCAGCTGCTTGTGTGTCAAAAACTTACATGCAAGCCTCTCAGCCAGGGGAAGAAGTTCCACTTCATCCTCACTTTCACTGCTTAGCACCTTGACTGGCTCTGTTTGTGTGACAGTTTCAGCTGTGTCTGGGACAAGCAGTGAATCTTTCAATCCTGGTGATAGAGGACAGGAGGCCTCAGAATCTGAGATGTCAACCACTACAATCGTCTCCTCCCTCTGAGGCTGTCTCCTGTTTGTTGAAGATGATTCCTTCTTCAGAAAGGCAAATGTTGGCAACTCCTCAGAGTCACTCTCACTGGAATCCAGTGAGAATGATGACTTCTTCAGAGCCATCAATACGTGCTATCAAATTAATTCCCTGAAAGGAAAAGACAGATGAGACACAGACTGGAGCATTCAATTCAGTCCACTAGATGTAGTCTATAGCCAAGCTTTATGAAGATAAATAGGAGATACAGAGAAAAGAGATATAGGACATGGCCCCAGCACATTCAATCTGTCGTCTAACAGGAATCCTCCCCAAATCCTTCTAGGTCAAGGTGAGGTATAAACAAAGTAGAGTCATTATTACAAAATTTTAATGGGGGTGGTAACAAGGTTCAACACCACCCCCTTGTTGATCTCTGCATTTGAAATGGAGATGCCAAAAATCATCCTTTTTAAAAATTAAAATATAATTTGTAATCCATAATATTCATCATTTTAAAAGTGTATAGTTCCCAATGTTGTGCAACTATCACCACTATTTCCAAAACATTTTCATCACCTCAAAAAAAAAATCCCATAGCCATTAAGCAGTCACTTCCCATTTCTCCCCCGCCCTCCCACCCCTACCAACCACATATCTACTCTGTCTTCATGGATTTGCCCATTCTGGACATTTCATTTAAATGGAATCATACAATATGTGCCTTTTTGTGACCTGTCTTTTTCACTTAGCATAATGTTTTCAAGGTTCAAGGTTGTAGCATGCATCAGTACTTCATTGCTTTTTATAGCTGAATAATATTTTATTGTATGGATATGCCATATTTAGTTTATCCATTCATCACACGATGGACATTTGGTTTGTCCCCCCCCCCTTTTTTTGCTATTATAAATATTGCTATGTACATTCATGTAAAAGTTCTTGTGGGGGCATGTTTTCAATTCTCTTGCACGTATACACCCAGGAGTGGAACTGCTAGGTCACATGCAAGACTGATTGCCTGAACTTTTACGGGCACTGTAGGTATGACCCTGGATGAGTAACGTAACCTTCCTGGGCCTCTGTTTCCTCTTTAGCGCGATAGTGATAACAATACCAATTCTGTAGGCTGTGAGAATTAAATGAAATATCGCATCTACTGTAGCTCAGTTTATCTGGCACACAGTTATCTGGTTAACTAAAGTAAGTTGAAGACAAGGGAGGGGGCCTCATCCCTGACCTCTCGCTGAGCCTCGGCTAACTACTGTAAAATAAGGGAGGCGGACAAGCAGGCCTCGGCCGGGGAAGCTCCGCGCCTCTCAGGTCTGCAGTCCGTTGCAGACGCCCCCAGACTCCCTGGCCATCAAGACCCTACAAAGCGGTGCTCACGACGGAAACTCTGACCAGCCAAGCGGCCCGCGACCCAGCGCGCTCACCTCCGATTTCTCGCGCTACTGTTTCAACTGCCAGGCAAGACCCGGAAGTAGATCTCCCGGTAGCGGAAGCAGAACCTTTCCGAGGCCGGAAGCGGGTGTAAGGCAAACATGGCGTCGACGATACTGGCGCTGAGGACGCGGGCAGCAGGTAACTAACACCGTAGCCATAGCGAGGCGAGGGGTAAAAGCAGAGTGCGGATCCAGCAGGGAGGCCGGGAAGTGGAAACCGGTCCCCGCGAAGGACCTCGGATACGAGGGGAAGTGTAGGGGACGCGAGGTTTGAGGGGAGGGCAGTTGATGATCATGTGACAATTCCTGGGCGGAGCTGCGAGGGAGACAGTTTGAGTAGCTCGTTTTCTTCCCTTGCCTCAGCTGCACCGTCTGCTTCCCGGGCGTTTCGGGGTGTGTGTGGACGGTTTCCTTGGCAGTTGAGGGTTTGCGTGGATCCCTTCATTTGTAGAAAGGATTATTATGTCTATATGGGTCAATCTGGGGGAAAAAAGAAAAGAAAAAAATAAAAGGATTAGGATTAGTAGTATTGGCACATTGAAGCTCAAAAAGTTAATTTATTCATTTAACAGACTGAGGCGTACATGTTGGGAAAATCAGCAGAAAACATGAAGACATGATCTCTGGCCCCTGAACGGTTCTTTCTGGTGTATAAGTCAGTAAATACACACGTAAATTAAACAGTTGTAAATCGTGACACATGCTGAAGGATAACAGGAGGCTTAGCCCTGTGTTGAATGAGGGGCAGGAGAGCGACTTAATCCAATTTTACATTTTGAGAAGCAGGCTAATGCTCTTATGTAAGTTTAAAGAGAGTAGTATTGTAAAATAGGAATAATAGGGTGAAATCGGGAGGGAAGTTGTACTGGTCCTGACAGAGATGATTTAGCCAAGATGTTACTGGTGGCAGTGAACCTGGAGGAAAATGGATGGATTTGAGATCTGTTTTGGAGATAAAAGCCACAGAGCTTGCTGGTGAACTGGATATGTGAGGTGAACAAAGAGAAGGAAACTTCACTGACTCTTTGGTTTCTTCCTGAGCAACTGGATAGATGGCGGTACCATTTACTTTGAGGAGGACAGGGAGTAGAGTGAAGAGTAAAAAGATCTGTGAATGAGATAACGTTGGTAAAGCAAAAGCCCAGTTCCTGAGCTTGATGAGTGTATGAGTGAATGAATGAATAGATGTTTAAAGGTAGGTAGATCCTGGTGCTGGGCATTTAATGTGTTGTCTCTCCAAGCCCTTATCTGTGGTCCTTTGCCCCAGCTAGTCTCTGTTCTCATGAAAATATCAGAAAACTAGATTTCTGGAACTCTGAACTTATAGGTTCCAGAGACCGCAAGGTCTTCTATAAAGACCCTGGCATGGTCCTTAAACTATGGCTGTGTCTGGAGACCTGAAGATAAGGACTTCCATCCATAGGCTTGTCATATATATCAAGGGACTTCCATCTTAGTATGAACTTTGGTTCATTTTCCTTTTTAAAATAAATGCCATTGAGCACTTTAGAATGAGTGTGGAGACGTAAGATTAACAAAGGGCAGTGTATTGGTCATGGACCTCTGCTTGATGGGCTTTGGGAAGAAAGGGCCCAGCCTTTTGAAATGGCCAGGACTCTGTGGGAGCCACCCCCAGATCACCTGCCCCTTTTGTTTACAAGTATCTGGTGGGTGGTAGATGAGTGGATAGCTAAGAAAATGGTGAGTGAGGCTGAAGCAGAAGCCTCTCTCTGAGCTCAGAGAGTCTGGCCCCTCCATGGAGCATGAGGATGAGTGAAGCTCTGAAGCAGGCAGTTCTGTGGTGTCCACTTGCTGGCTTCTTCTGTTTCTGTGGTGTTTGTTTCTCTTCAGCACATTCAGACTGAATGTGTCAGGACCCAGAGCACATGATGGTTATTTTATTTTTCATTTATATTTCACTGCTCCCCACCACCTACCACCCCTATCCCCAGCACAGTGCTTACACCCTGGACAATACAAGGAATAAATTGTCCCCTGCTGTGGAAGAAGGCGAGGGACTTCCAGGTATTCCCTGAAAACCACTCAGAAGTAGTATTTCTGCTCCCCTCACATATTATGTCTTTCTTGTCTCCCCTGCCACCTCTCAGCTTAGCAAATGGCCCATTGAGGCAGAGAAAGAGAGTCTGATTGCAAACCTCTCTGTCTGAGCAGTGTTTCTGTTTTTTCTGCATTTACAGCCCTGCTGAGCCCTCCTCCAGCTACAGCTCTTGCTGTCAGATATGCATCCAAGAAGACAGGTGGCAGCTCCAAAAACCTTGGTGGAAAGTCATCAGGCAGACGCTATGGCATCAAGAAAATGGAAGGTGAGGATGTGCCTTGGCTTCCATCTCCCAGCAGTTCCGTACCCTGATGTTCCTTAGGAGAACAGCACACCTACAAATACCTGGCCCTGTTCTCTCCACCATATTATTTGGCTCTCTACATTAATGGGGCAGATAAGACCTGAAGAAGGGGAGGGGCTGAGGAGGAGTGGGTTGATGTTAACTTTAGCCTTAAGACAGGAGGATCCTGTGTTGGGTGGAATGCCAGGTGCTGCTTGTGTTGAACCATCTGGGAGTTGTTTTTGGCCAGGGGCAGGCTTAGAGGTTGGTGTGCAACATTTGGGCCATCATGTTTTCTTGGCAGTTTGCTGTGTTGCCAGATCACTGGGGCCTGGAGTCAGTACATTTTTGGACTTCTCTTCTAGGTCACTATGTTCATGCTGGCAACATCCTTGGGACTCAGCGCCATTTCCGTTGGCACCCAGGTGCCCATGTGAGTTGTTCTGTGGCTCCCCTTTTGTCTTTCCTAGACATCTCCATGCTCCTGAGCACAGTAATAACAGTTGCATTCATTGTGTGCTTACCAAATGGCAGGCACTGTGATGATTTCCTATGCCTACATGATCTCATTTCATCTTTACCACATACCTGTGTTGTAAGTATCATCTCCATTTTATAGGTGAAAGGCCAGAAACTTATAGACCAAGTGACTGGTAGGATTTGAACCAGGTCTGCCTAATTCCCAAATCACTTACGTTTTGCCTTGGCATAGCGTTAGGCTGGTATTCTTGGTTCTCCTTTCTAACCCTTAGTTCTTGGCGCATGAGCTGCCTAGTGATTTAAGATATTTTTTGAGTCTTGGGAAACTAATTTTAATTTATTCATTTTTCATGATTTCTAAGAATTCTTCCTTTGTATAAGCTTATTAGTAGGTGGTTGAAAGATAGCTTGAATTTAATAAAATGTAATTCAGTGTGTGTTAGACGTTAGGTCTCTAACAGATGGAGATTTCATGTCAGCAAGTTGGGATGACTTTATGAGGTAGGAAAGTTCTTTGTTAAGACAGAACTGTACTATACCCTTCACATTATTTTAAATATTAGTTTAGTTTCCTTTGTAATCAATTTCTCCCCTCCTCACCCCTTTTCTGATAATTTTAATGGACACAGAAAGGCTAATAATAACCTATATTTATTTCAAAGATGCTACTTTTTATGTGAATTGAAAATAGATGTAGTAGCTTTATCTTTTAGAACTTAAGACATTGGGTGTGTGGCTATGTTAACTCAATAACAACAATAAAAACTAACATGCTTTGAGCTGGGCAGTGTTCTAAGCTTGTTATGATTATTAACTCATTTAATCCTCAAGATGACGCTGTAAAGTAGTTAATATTATCCCCATTTTGCAGATGAAAAAATACTGAGGCACAGTGAAGTAGCTTGCCCAAGACCACACGAATAAGTAGTATTGCTGGGATTTAAAGCAAGCATCCTGGCTCCAGAGTCTTTTCTTTTAATTAGAGAGACAGAGAATAGTGCTAGACTGCCTAGGTAAAAATCACCCCACATCCTATCTGAAGTTCTAAAAGAAAAAAGCTAAAAAAAAAACCAAAAAAACAATATGGTTAAAAACTGTATATACAACACACAGTTTATTTAACCTCTTTGCTTCATATTTCTCATCTGAAAAACAGTGTCGGAAATAATACCTATTTCACAAGGTGAAGATTAAATGAGATCAGATAAAAGGGCTTGCTTCAGTATTAGCTCATGTCAGTACGATTATTTTTTTAGCATATGCTTTATCTATATAGCTTTGGTCTATACTCTCCATAGAGCCTAAACTTTATAGATCACTATACAGATGAAAATGCACATCAAACTAGCGTTTAATATTTTAACTCTAGTGTTTTTGAAGTCTAAGTGAAGCTCAAGGGGCCTTGATTTGGGGCATCTTCCTCTGCCTGGTTTTGGGATCTATTTAGTGTGACCTCTGACCACTTGCAAAGACATAGCTCCAAGTATCAGCCCTCTGGGACTGAGCAGTGACCAGGATTGGCTGTTGGAGTGTTCTTTTCCATCCTTTGTTATGTGTCAGTAAAGAAGCAGAAAGCAAGGAAGAGCTAAGCAGTGGGAAAGGGAACTTGAGGTAGAGCTCTCTGAACCCTCCCCGTCAGCCCCAGGGCCTGAAACCATGTGAGAAGTCTGTCTGAAGCCCTGCAATGGGCCACCTGGCTCTCCGTCCAGCTGACCAGGTCTGTGTGTTGCAGGTGGGGCTGGGGAAGAGGAAGTGCCTGTACGCCCTGGAAGAGGGGATAGTCCGCTACACTAAGGAGCCCTACGTGCCCCATCCCCGCAACGCTGAAGCCGTGGATCTGGTTACGAGGCTGCCCAAGGGCGCTGTGCTCTATAAGACTTTTGTCCACGTAGTTCCTACCAAGCCTGAGGGCACCTTCAAACTGGTCGCTATGCTTTGAGGCCATTGGACAGATACTGGAGCCCAGGTGACAGAAGTCAAGGGTTGAGGTAATGATAAGGCCTCCCGAGGAAGATGTGTGCTTGGTGAAGGAGTCTTTGCGGGAGACTCTGTGAAGTGACTGCTGAGAAACCCTTTGGGAGACCTGACCTGGGGCCAAAAATAAAGTTAGCCGGAGTCATGAGCCTGTGCTACTTGGGGACAAATCTGGATGGAATTGCTTACTGATTCATTGGCCCTTACCTACTTTCTCTAGTGCACACCAAGAGGGGACCTCAAAGCAGGCAAGAGGCCCATCAGAGTGAAGAAATGAGAAAGAGAGGACTTTGGAGGAGGGGAGTGCTTCAGTACCATCCCCCAGAGAGGAAGGAAGAGGAGAGCTTGTGCTTGAGGGTGTCACTACTACTTCCCCTCTTGGATCCCATAAAAGTCCAGTGCCTGGGCCCTGGGAGGAGGAGGGGTGGGAGGGAGTCAAAACAACACAGTCATCTTCCTCTCTTGGAGCTACACGCAAAGGGAGCTCGGGCTGTAGCCCCAGAGATGGCCACGTGGTAGCCCCCTGCCTGATTCTGCAGGTCCAGGGTAGGGAGGGAGCTTGTGGGATGGCAGGAGATCCTCCTCAGAGGTTCATTCAGGCCCCATCTGTCCTGAAATCCCTAGGACCTTCTAGTGGCAAGGCAGAGTAGGTAACAAATGGCTTCTTCCTGCTCACCCAAAGAGCTAGACACGCTAAGCCCACATTTTTTTCTGGTTCTTGATTTATTTCCAGCCATAAACAGCAGCAAAGACTCTGGCTTTAGGAATCTCAGTGAGGGCCTAGAGTGGGCTGGGGATAGACCTTCATTGTCATACCAACCATGATCTTTAGAGGCTTAGCTTTGAGTAGAGGGCCCAGGAAGGAAATCTTGCTGAGGGGGACAGTCATTGCTGGCTGTTGGAGGTAGGTGGTGTTGACTGCAGTCCCATGGCTTCCTTTCAGGGACTCTCCTCTGCCCAGGAGCTCAGGGATTGTGGACAGAGCCTCCAAATGCTGAAATTCTGCCTTGAACTTGTTACCTCATTCTCTCAGGGCACGACCCTAGATTCTTCACCTCTTGCAGATCCTTGGCAAAGGTGACCTGGGCTTTGTGGGGGTTCACTTTGGCATCCAGTGTGGGGGCCTCAGGTACCACGGCCCAGCTGGGGTAGTTCTTAGGCAGGGGAGATTGGGGGCTGCCTCCATAAGCTCAGTGCTGTCCCTTCCAGTCCCCTGGAGAAATGGGAAGAGGCATGACAAGGGTGGTTGCTCCCTCCTACACAGTGGTGTTTCCCTGAGCAAGGCAGATGGCTGCTTCCTGGGAAGGGTGAGCAGAGCCAAGGTTGGGTGGTGCTGCAGGCAGTGACCCTAGGGCTTCCTCATAGCTTGGTGGTGGCTGGAGGGATGGGAAAGCAAAGGCATTAGCTATTCCCGTGCCCTCCCCCCAGATACATACTGCCCTTTTTTTGGCTGCTGCTTCCTATATCTCCTCTCCCCTAATGACTGATCCTTCCAGGAAACAGGATGGGTCTAGAGCTGTTGGCTTCATGGAAACCCCTTTGGGAAGGCCTCCCTGGGCTGGGGTCTGCCATTGTTCCCTCTATACAAAGAGGTACAGTGGGGCCTCCAGCCAAATCTTGGGATTCTCCACTAGTGGCCCTTTCCTTGTCTTGACCCAAGGGGCTCTAATTGGGCATTTTGTATAAAAGAATATTATGGGAACAGCTCAGTTACCCAGGGCACCCAAGGCTGGGAGGGCTGGAATTTCACCTCTCTGCAGGCCCAGAGCCCGAAGCGCTGTGCAATCAGCTGGTGAATTTGCTGCTGCCGATCCTTCTTCCGAACACTCTCATAGCTGGGCAGGCGAGCTGGCTGCCACAGGGGTAGCTGGTGGCTGCTGAGCAGCCCTACACAGAATATCTCGTTCCTCTGAGGATGGCCCTGTGACCAAGAAAAGCCAAGGGAGTCAGGGAGGAATGCACCACCATTATCCAGCTTTTATCTGGATCCTCTTTCCCAGACTAAGCCTAAGTTCAGGTGTACTGCACTGTCTCCTCCTCTTCAACAAGCCACTTGAAGCTTCACCCCAGCCTTTCCCCTGCATTCTTTTTTTTTTTTTTTTTTTTTTTTTTGAGACAGGTCTCGCTTGTTGCCCAGGCTAGAGTGAGTGCTGTGGCATCAGCCTAGCTCACAGCAACCTCAAACTCCTGGGCTCAAGCAATCCTGCTGCCTCAGCCTCCTGAGTAGCTGGGACTACAGGCATGCGCCACCATACCCGGCTAATTTTATATATATATTAGTTGGCCAATTAATTTCTTCCTATTTATAGTAGAGACGGGGTCTCGCTCTTGGTCAGGCTGGTTTCGAACTCCTGACCTCGAGCAATCCGCCCGCCTCAGCCTCCCAGAGTGCTAGGATTACAGGCGTGAGCCACCGCGCCCGGCTCCCCTGCATTCTTTTTAGTCCACCTAACCACACTAGGTTCCTTGCCTGCCTTCAGGACCCAGGCATATCCTTTCTCCATCTCCCAGGTGGCAGCCCCAAAGATCCTTACCTGCATCCCCAGGGCCTCTCCGCTGCTTTCCACTGGCTGGACCACGGTGGAGCATCCCATGGTGCTCAAGTACAGAGGGGGGAAGCCCTGAGGATCATGAAGGGCAGCTCCAGTGAAGCTCAGGATTTAGGTCAGCATGCAAGAGAGCAGAGCCCAAACCCCTTCTTGTCCCCCATGTCCCTTTCTCCATCTCTTTAGTCCTCTCCACTGAGGCCAAGGCACAAAGCACGGACCCTCGGCATTTCTGAAATGCACTTGGGTATAAAGAGGTTCCTCTGCTTTCTGGGCACTGGCTCACTCTCATCATCTGGTAGTCAGCTCTGATGACCTTTAGAGGGAGAGTCAGAAAGCCGCCTCCTGGCCCTCTCTCTCCATCCCAGGCTGGTCCCCAGAGTTGGGGTGTCAGAGCCTGGGATGGGTGCAGCTCAGATTTCTTTTGCTTTCTATGCATGATGCCATATGGTTCCCTGTCCCTGGGGAAAGGACTGACAGTGCTGCAGTTGCCATTTATCCCATCCCACAGAAGTCGGGGCTCTGTGCTTTCCCTGGGGAGCTGGAAAAAGACCCTTATCTTTACTGAGCAGCTCCCTGTACTGAGTCCTGTTATGACAATGGCTAGGGAGGGGCCTAGCCAGGATCTTATTAACCCTTTCCACACTGCTGCCCTGAAACCCAGGCCGGATGCAATTGAGTTCATCAGAGAAGAGATTCCGAAGGCCTCTTCCATACTGAACAAACAGTTGCTTCTCCTTGGCCAGAGCACAGGTGCCCTTTGGTTAGGATTGGGGTGGAGGGGCACCGGCAAGAGGTTGGTGGGTAGGGGTGCTTACGTGTTGGTTGGGACTCCGAAAGAAGTGGCAGGAGCAGAGGACCTGGCAGCACTGGAGGTCGCGCTGATGCAGCAGTAGCAGCAGGATGGCCATGATGAACACCAGGGATGAAACTACCCTCCCCCCAGAGGCACAGTCAGGGGGCAGCCTGGACCCCGCAAGCATGGGTCCAGCTCTTCCCCAGATTGGAATTCCGCTCCAGAAGTTGGTGCAGGAATGACCCACTTGGTCTGGTGTCAGCTCAACACGCAAGGCAAACTCAGTTGCAGGCAGCTCCCTTTTTGCCACCGCATCACCTCCCTGGGGCAGAGATTTGTGAGGGAGAGCAGAGTAGCTTTATCCCGTCTCCACCTTCAGCCCAGGGAAGGAGTGATGTGTGTAAGGGAGGTTTTACAAAGGGACAAACTCAGGGAAGGAGGAGCAGATTCCCTTAGAAACAGTGGATTGAGATGGCAGGAGAGGACCCAAGAGCCTGAACTCCCTTGTGCCCAGACTCTCTCCTGTTTATCAAAGTCTGTGGAATATGGTAGAACTTGGCACTGACAGGGAAGGGACCTCAGGGATCAAACACAAACCATACACGATCTTCTTCCCAAGTGGCTCGGGGAGGGATATTGCTCTAGGTTACCCTATAGAAGAAAAGGCTGGGCTTCCAGTTTATGGAAGAGTGCTTCTGCCGCATCCCTGGGACTCAGAACGGCAGTGAGTACTCACCAGTGGCCACGACTATGGCTAGGAGGCTGTTGTCCATGGTGATCTCTGCACATGGAGAAGCGGTGGCAGAGGGTGCCAAGAAATGGCATTGGCTTTGAGGGCAGCCAGCAGGGCCACAGAGCTGGCCCTTCCCCCTGGTGCCACACCCCTCCCGAGGAACCCAGGCACAGAGGACTAACTTCATTCAGAGCAGGGACATCTGTGAGCAGCTCTCCAGGTTCTCAGCCTCTCTTGCCCCTCCTTGTCCTGGTTGATGCTGTGCCATGGCCTAGTGTTCCGTAGATGGCAGTCCTCTCTGCATGCCTGTTAGCTGTGAGAGTCCCTCTCCAACCTTCTGGAGAAGAGGTTGGCGGGAACAGGCCTGGCTTCTGCTGAACCTGACAGGGAAGCTCCAAGTCGCCCAGATCCCTCCCAGCCCGACTGCCCACCTCCACTTCCCATTGGCCCAGGTAACTGGGCTCTGGGTGCCAACTGGCTGTCCTCTGGACTTGGCTTCCACCTCTAAGGTTCCCCTGGTGTCCGCGGTTGCCCTGGAAACCGGGCACGCGGGCCACAAAATACAAAAGCCTCTCTGCCCAGGCTCTCTTCCCTCCGAGGCAGTTATTGTGCAGCTCTGGGGGCCCAGCCTGCCTGAGCCTGCTCCCCGCCCCCACCCCCATGTCCTGCCTGGGCTGAATCCTAATCTTGACCCCAGGGGCTCAGCCAGGGGAAGATTTCAAAGAAACCTAAAAAAACCCAAGCCTCCAGGCCAAGCTACCCCTACAGAAAGGTGAGGGGTGGGGAACACTGCCAGGAACTCAGGTGGAGAAGCCGGCTTACACTTGCCTCAGTGACCTGAACAAGGAAGAGAATGTGCCTGCGTCCCCAAGGGTGCCCTCTGAACCTGTCAGGAGTCCTGGCTGCTTTGTCCTGCTGTGCTTCTAACTCGGTGGGGCCAAGACAAGCCCATCAGAGCAGCTAGGGTGGGGCTAGACTTCCCCAGTTCTCATGCCTGCCTGCGTTAGAACCACCTGGGGAGCCTTAAAAGCATACCATTGCTGGGTTGCCACCTCAGACCAGTTAAATCAGAAGCCTCAGCCAGGATCTGAGGATTTGCTGGGCTAAAAAGGAACACAAACTCAAAATGTTTACAGCAGGTGACAATGATAACTAGGACCTCGTATAATATGATGGAGAATGGCAGGGGACTCAACAGCCACAGCCCGAGTTAAACCCACAGGATGGTTTGTGAGTTCTTGGCCAGCAGAGTTTAAATATTCTGATATTTACTGCCTGTGCCTAATATGCTGAACTAACTTAATTTTTTGATGTTGGGAAATAAAAACCCCGACATTCTAGAGAACCAGAGTACAGCTTCAGATGTTCACTAAAACAGGAGCCAGATAATCCTTAGCACTCTGGGAGGGGGAAGCAGGCGGATCGCTCAAGGTCAGGAATTCAAACCAGCCTGAGCAAGATCGAGAGTCCATCTCTACTAAAAATAGAAAGAAATTAATTGGCCAACTAAAAATATATAGAAAAAATTAGCCAGGCATGGTGGCACATGCCTGTAGTCCCAGATGCTCGGGAGGCTGAGGCAGGAGGATCGCTTGAGCCCAGGAGTTTGAGGTTGCTGTGAGCTAGACTGACACCATGGCACTCTAGCCCGGGCAACACAGTGAGACTCTGTCTCAAAAAAAAAAGAAAGAAAGAAAGAAACAGGAGCCAGAAGAAATAATCATCTTAGTCTCTGAACCCAAACACCATTTCTTTTGAGTTTTTGCTGTTAGCTCCTTCCTAGTTACCTGTCCAGCCAGGCTCTCCTGAGAGCGGAGACTGTTGCAACTGAGCACTCTGAAGCCTGCTTGCCACCATCTAATAGCTAGCTATGAGTCTAGCTGGGCTCTTCATTTCACAGCTCTGAGCCTCAGTGTCCTGATCTGTTAAATGAAGATAATAAAAGTGCCTGCCTACAAGGGTTGTGAGGATTAAGTGGGAGAACTAACTGCATGTAAGGTCAGCACCGTGGCTAAAAAAGAAAACAAAACAAATCCACCCAAACGCTGTTATTGTTGGTCAGGAGTGCCCTCTCCTGGCAACTAGGAAACATGACATGTGGCAGCCTGGGCAGGAATTTGTCCCTGAGCTGAACTAATGAGATCAGTGTGGCTGGCTGATAGGGTGATTTTAGAGGTCTAGAAGCCTTCGCCCTTGCTCCTCCCACATTAAATAAGGTGTGAAGGACTGACAGAGCCCTGGCTATCAAAGAAAGGGGAGGGAGAGGGGGGCTTGGGAAACAGGGAGGATGAACAGACCTTTCCAAATGGCCCTCCCAGGTCCTAGGGCAGTGGCCAGGGACCCAAGTCTCTGCTGTTCCTGCCCCTATAGGGAAAATTCCAATGGTGACCATGGGGCCATGCCTGGCATTGCCTTTCTTCTTGAGGGTGTCCCATAAGGCAGGGCTGGGCTTCTAGGATGGGCCCTGGTGACAGTGAACACAGAGAAGCCAGCATCCACCATGACTCGGGGCCTGGTGGTAGGGGCAGGAGTGCTAGGTCAGGGCTCTCAAACTAAGCTTGAGTCCTGCTGGTCCACTGGCCTGCTGGGTGGCAATAAGCAAGTCTCTGAGCCTCTCTGGGCCTGTTAGCACTTCAGAAAACCAGGGAGCTGGATTAGATGAGTTCTTGAGTCCCTTCTGGCTCTTGAATGGATTCTAACCTGTTCCCACTCTGGAGGAAAGATACCTTTGCCTTCTTGAGGATGGTACCAAAGTACCAGCTAAGTCTTCTAGGAGAATACCCAACAAATTATGATGCTTCCCTGACATCCAGGAGGAAAAACACAGAGGCTCAGCTTAGAGAGATAGAGATATATTTCTTCTGTTGCATATTTCAGACTTCACGCTGAGCTTCAGGCACAGTGCTACTCCAGGTTCTCCTGAGAGCCCTGATAGGGTCTTCTCGCACGCTGCTCATGAGGGCTCACCCTTCCAGGGCCCAGGAAACTCTGCACTGGTCTCAGGCCTTCATGCCCTCCTGTCCCATCAAAGGGCAGGGTATGCTTGAAAGTCCTGGAGCCAGCCTCAGCCCTCTTCTAGGTCCCCTGGCCATAAGAGGAGAGACTGTCCTGTTAGAGCCCAGCTCTGCAGTGCCCCCCATATCACCTGTTCTCAGGGCCTGAGAGCCTGGCAGGGCACCTGCACCCCTGCAGAGCCTCAGCCAAGAGCACCACAGGCCCAGGCTGGGGATAAGGCCCTGGAGAGCAAAGCGGGCCCAGCCTCATTCAGAGCAACAACACGTGGGTGCAGCAGGCCCCCGCTCCCACAGCCATGGCCCACTTCCTGGGGCTGCTCGGAGCCCTATTGCACATCTTCTGTTTCTAGTTCCTGCCCCCACCACCCACTTTCCTTTTTAAATTAAAAAAAAAAAAAAGTACTAGAGAGGAAGGTGAGGAAGAGCTGGGCATGGAACGCTGCTGGAGCCCTTCTCATGTTCGCGCCAACCCTCTGGTCCCTAGCAGAGACAGCCGCCATAGTTACGCTGTGCCCACCTTCCCTGCCGTCTGTGTGGGTTCTTGATGGCTGAAATGGATGTGCTGCTTGGGCCTCTGGTTCTTGCCTGTGAGAGGGGACAGCCCTCTGTTGTCCATAAGGTGCAATTCCCCGGGTCCTCCAGGGGTGCTGGCTGGGGCCCTGCTACCTGAGTCGCCCATCTGCTTTGACAGGCCCCAGCTCCGATTTGGGGTCGGGGGACAGAGAACTCCAGCTGGTCAGTCTGCAGGGCTCCAGGGATGGGCAGGCAGAGGGGCCCATGGCACACAGTCCAGCCACAGACCAGAAGCCCTTCAGTTCCCCATCTGTCCAGGCCTCGAGTGCATGGCCAGTGAGCTCCGCGTGCTGCCGGGCGGCCTCCTCCATGAGCTCTGGCTGAGGCAGGTTCAGGATCCCACTCAGGCCCTGGAAACTCTGCTCTGTGTACTCATTGTGGGGTGGCCCTGCATGCATCCAGCTGGCATCATCTGGGGGGCAGATCAGGTAGTAAGCACACCCCACCCAACAGATTCCACAGAGCCAGACCCAGGAGTCAGGTCTGGGCACCCTGGTTCTTGTCCCAGTTCTACCACCAAGCCACTGCTTGCTGAGCAGCCTTGGGCTAACCCAAGGAATTTTCTGTGCCTGTAAAACTGTTAGTTTTATAAAACCAAGGCAGTAATCCCTGGATTCCCAACTTTAGGATTAAGTAAAACAGTAGGTCCAAGGCACTGTAGAAAATAAGGTAACAGTCTGATTGTGTCACCTGTACCCCTTCCGGACCATCATCAGTGGCTCCCAGAACCCTCAGAAGCCTGTACTCAGGCCCTCGGCCCCTCATGCACAGACATCAGCCAACTTTGTCCCCTTGGCTTAGAGCATGCCTCTCCTTCTCTGAGGCTCAGCCCCAGTCCCCACCTGCTGTGCAGCTGGCCTTCCTCTGTGTCCTTCCCTAGACCGGGAGATCCAGGAGCACAGAGGACATAGCCTGCCCACCCTGGATCTGCTGCAGCCCCAGCACCCCCTCCTCTAGGCTACCCCTGCTCTTACACACCTTCTTGTGATAGGATGTGCTGGAAGGAAACATCTACTGATTGAGCACCTGCTGCAACCTAGCCACTCCTCCCCACACACTTGTCCCTAACATCTCCCAGGGACGGTTACCTGTATCAGGCCTTCCCTTGCAGGAGTCTGCCCGGCCCATGCCTCTGTTTAGAGCCTGTTCCCATAGCCTTAGCCAAATGAGTGGAGAGCCACGTGACCCTGCCCACCTGCCACATAGTGGACTAGGATGGCCAATCAGGTTTGCTATCCCAAGAATGTGGAACCTAGAGACCAAGAGGCCCTGCCCAGTCTCTGTTGCACTAATAAGCCACATATGGAGAAGCAAAAAGAGCCAGAGCCTGAGGCCAATATGCAGAGACAGGACAGCATGAGGGACAAGATGGCCCCAGAGAGATGGAGAAAGCACCTCTGGTTCCTGGTGAGACCTGAGACCTTTCCTGGGTTCTATGAAGGGGAGCTCTGCATTCTTCCAATAATTTCCCTTTTTTAACTTGAGCTAGGTTGGGTGGATTTGTGCTGCATGCACCCAGGTCTCCGTTAATTGTACCACTCCTACTTTACATGTGATGAGACAGAGGCCCAGGAAAGCCAAATGGTTTCCAAGGACAAAAGGCCAATTAAACTGTCGGAGCTATGTTCCAGACCCAGGTCTGCCTGACCCTAAAACTTCCCTTTCTACCATAACACAGGCCAGGACCCTGGCATGCTCAAGGCCCATCCTTTCCCCCGTCCCTTACTCTAGGGAGTAAGCTCCCTGGCAAATCCTATTCTGTCTGGCTTTGGGGCATCATTTGGGAACTACATCCTTACCTTTCCTGAGAGGTAGTTTGCGGTTGAAGGTCAAGGGCAGCACAAGGAAACGGGTCTCACCCAGAGGTTCCCAGAACTGAAGCAGTCGAACAGTCCAAGCCCCTGGCCGCAGGGGCCGGCTCAGTGGAGGCTTGTATTGCGTGACTTCAGTCTCTGCATCTACTGTGATGTCGTAAGATATGGCTACCACATAAGTTGGGTCAATCCAGACCACGGTAGCTGTGAGGTTGGGGCCCCGGGCCCAGCGCTGCATGGCCACGGGCTCATCCAGCGGCCCCAGCAACCCCCCAAAGTTCCGGAAAAGACGTTCTTTGGGGTCCCACTCGGTGCCAACCTGTAGGGAAGGAGGCAGCTGGGCAAGAGCCCGGGAAGAGGTCTTTCTCTCTACTCTGATGCTGCCTCTCACTGTGTAACCTCAGGACAGTCACTGTCTCTTTCTTGGCCTCAGTTTCTTTCCCCATCTGTAAAATGAAGGGGTCAGACTAGGAGATCTTTAATATCTCTGCCAACTCTGAGATCTAAGTTTCCATTCTGAATTGCTCCACAGTGGTGCAGACATAAGGTAGAGATGGGCCCTACCCAGAGACCATTCCCACGTGAAGCCAAAGCCTCTAAGAGAGACTGGGGAGCCACCCAAAAGCTTAATTATCTGGCCCAACTTGAATGTCCAAGTCCCTCTAGAAGAAATCTCTATAGTTTAGGAGAGCCCAGTGAACCAGGCTTGTACTGTAGTGGAACGAACCCTCCCTCCCTCCTTACTGCATAGTCTGGGCCTCCCAACTGGGAGCTGCTCCTCAAAGTGCACATGCAGGGGTGACACAGGATGTCTACATGGAGCATCACCAAGGCTGCCATTGCTGGGAAAAAGCCCAGTGAACCCAGTCCATAAAGGCCTAACCAAGTTCTTACCCCTCCCTTGGTGTCTGTCCCTTTCATCCCACTAACCTGAGTCTTGCTAGGGGTCAAGAGAAAACAAGGGGGGGGGACCTGTCCCACCTCCAAACTCTGGAGCCGGCTGGCCTGGTCACTGTGCCCCAACAGCTTCAGCGACCCCTGGGGCATCAGCCACATCTCAAGCGTCTCTGCTGGCCCCTGGGCTGAGGGCTGCACCGTCTGCGTCACCAGGTAGCCCTGGAAATGGTCGTCATAGAAATACAGGTGCACGCTGGACGGCAAGCCCCTGGGCTCAAACCTAAGAAGGTTCCAGCAGGGAGAAAGGGAGATGCCATCAGCACACTCAACTTGACCTGGAGTCCCAGAGAGGGGGCTCTGGGGAGTCCCATCCCCAGCCACTTCCTTTGCCCCAAATCTCACACCCCACAGCACCTACGTGCCTGGCTCTTGCCTTCTTTTTTTGTATTTGCATTTTTCCCTACCTCGGACTGGGGGCTCACTGTGGGCTGGGGTTGTCGGTCTCTGATTGGCTTTCCCATAGGGCACCAAACCTTGAGGACCTGCTGTATGTCAGAGGGGGGTCTCACCTGCAGAGCTGGGTAGCCAGTGGGGGCGTGGCAGTGGCAGCATGGCGCAGGCTGAGGCGGGCGAAGGCAGTGTAAGCAGTGAGCATGACATCACTGAGCCCACTGGGGCCATCAGCCGCATCGTAGATGTTCTCCCAGTAGGCCTTGAGGGCTGGCGTGCCAGGGGGGTAGCTGCCATACAGGTGGAAGTCCAGGATTTCTAGTACCTCCTGGTTCACAGTTGACTCAAACTTGCGGGCGAAGAAAGTGGGTCTGGAGACTTGCTGGAGCGGGAGAGGCAAGGAAGGTGAAGGGCTCTGGAGGTGCCAGAGAGCACAGCAGGGGCTGGCCCCTCACAGCACTGCCTGGAGATCAGCCTCCTGCAGCTTTTCCTGCTGCTGCTGTAGCCCCAGATCCCCGAGGGCTGCCCCAGATGGAGGCCCCCCCTGATTCTCTGACTGGCCTACCCTGCCCTCCTGACCTCGGGAAGTTCAGAGTGAAAGCTGGGTGTAGGCCTAGCAAAGGGCAGCCTCTCTGGCCACAGACAAGCACCTGCAGCCGTAGGAAGTCCTGTGGCTTGAAGTCATTTGGGGAGCAGCCGCACCAGTCCACGATGTGCTTGTACTGGCACTTGCAGCCCAGCTTGCGGTTCCAGTTGGTGACCCGCAGGTTGTTGTCCACGAGGGTCTCACAGGCCAGGCTGTTCTCCAGCACCGTGTGGAAGAAGGACTGCAGGTAGCAAGGGAGGGCGGAAGGTGAGCTGTGGGCCGCCCAGCCCATGCCCTCCCTGGCCTTCGTGCCTGTCTGGTCACCCACCTCAGCTGGGAGCAGTGTGTATGTATAGAACTGGCGTAGCTGGGCCACCAGCGGGTCGTCTGTGTACACCACGTACTCTACGAAGCTGCGTGTCAGCACAAACCAGTCAGAGCCACCATCCACCACGATGCCCGCTGGGATCTGCCGCTCACCCAGGCGCCACATGTGTGAGTCACACTCATGGAAGAGCCGGTCCAGGCCCTGTTTCTTGATGAACCTGTGGGTGGCAGAAGAGCAATAGCTGAGGGTCCTGCAGGGTGGGGCCTCAGTTTTCACCCACCTGGCAACCAGCACTCCTCAATCTGTGATTGGCTGGAGGCTCTGTAACCCAGGGCTGGGGCCACAGAGCCCCCCTCAGCCCCACTGTGTGGGAGAGGTTGGGATGAGACCCCAGCACCAAGGCCTCCTTCCCCATCCCCCTCACCTGGAATTGTCCCGGCCATGGGACTTGAGGAAATTCTTGTCCCGGTTCTTGGACAGGAATGCCACCAGCTCCTCATTGGTCCTGGTGAGGAATGGGTGGCCGGCAGCCATGTGTGAGGGATGCTCAGTCACTGGCCCAGGGCAGACCCCAGTACTCTCTACCTCCACCCTGGCCCTTCCTTCCTCAGAGCTGTCTGGCCATGTGGCCTACCCCCAGCTGCTGCTCTGGGGTGGTGGGCACTGGAGGCCCCTAAGGAAGACCATCCCATCTTTCCTCTACCCCCTGCCGCCTGACCCGGCACCCCAGGTACTGACCTCTGGCTCCTCCTTCTGCCCTTCTCCTGTCATTCTCAGTTCTCAGATCATCCTGCAGCAACCCCTTCCCTAGAACATGGCTGGGGCCATGTCTGGGCAGTACAGGTCCCAGAATGGACTTGGGGTAGGGGAGGGAGTCCATCAGGGTCCTCTAACCCAATGCCCAGACAGGCCTCCCCTCCCATCCAGAGGATTCCGAGCCCCAACTCCATACCTGGTTGGGTAGTCGGTGGCACTGAGGTTGATGAAGAAGTCCCAGGCCCAACCAGGCACCTCTAGCAGGTCCTGCATGCTCCGCAGGTACATCCTCAGGAGGCTGGCCCCGCCCCAGATGGTGACCATGCGCCAGGGTGTCACTCGCACGTTGTCATACAGCTGGGCTAGCTCCACCACCTCACGGTGCAGGTAGTTGGAACGCTGGGGAGAGGAGACACTCGGCAGATGCAGCTGGGCATTGTAACTGCCCCCACTCACACCCCAGGACAGAGTATAAGTGACATGAAATGGATAAAGCTCCTAACCACTGTGCCAGCCACACTGGCCCCTCCCCGATTCTGGGCTTCAGTCTCCCTATATCTAGGGTACCCAAGCCAGGTCAGAGACTCTGTCTGTGCCCTTCTGTGTCTTGTCTCTGCTCACCCCAGATCCCTGGCCTCCCCCACCCACAGTACCTTGTCCACATGGATATAAAAGAAGTGCTGCTCATGGTAGACAGCCTTGAGGAGACGTTTCAGCTGGCGGATAGCGCGGCCGTGGACCACCAGCATGTAGGCAATCCGAATTGGGGGGCCATCCACGGGCTGCTGGGCCCGCATCTCGTCCCATTGGATGCCGGGACTCATCTTCCCTGAGAATAGGCAACAGGGGCATCGGTGAGGCCCTGCCTAAGTCACAGGGTGGGGTGGGAAGGGAAGAGGGGGCTGCCTGCCTTCCAGAGGAAGAAGCCTGGACTGGAGCCCGATGCTCCTGGGTCCCTGCTTCACCTCTGCCACTTATTAGGTACACGGCATGAAAACTCTGAGCTTTCTTCTCTGAGAAATGGGGGTGATGATCTGGGCCATGCCACCTCCCCACCCAGGCCTCGGAAGGACTGGAGCATCCCTGTCCCTCACCAGACAGCTGGCAGTACCGGGGCACAGCCTTGGGCATGAGGCTTCCAGCCTGGTGCAGGCACACCACGTTGGCAATCTCCTGCTGGCACTGCTTGGTGCTGGCCCGGGCCAGTGCAGACAGCGCATCCTTGCCCACAATCTCGCACTTAGGGGTGAAGCCGTTGTCCGTGGGCTGGGGGGCGCCCTCCACACTTCCTGTATCTCCATGTAGCGGGAAACCAGCTGCCCCTACCAGCGCCTCCCCAGCTGCTGCCCCACTCAGGTTCTGCCGGCCTGGGGCCTCCGGGGGTGGGGCGGGCGGGACACGTCGGCTGGCTCTCTGCCGGCTCGTTACTGCCCGTACCACCTTGGCCACGGGCACGCCTGGGCTCTCAGCACGGCCCCGCCAGCGCCCATGCTTTCTGCTCGCACTGCCCCGCCGCCCTGCCGAACTGTCGGTGTCTTTGGAGCCCTCGCCAGGGTCCAGCGGCCGTGGCTTCTTCTGCCTTCCTTTCTGTAAAAGACGCGCAGACACAGATCACTGGGGCAGTCACGTACCTCCTCCTGCTCCTTGAGCTCCATCTCGGCTAGGGGCACCCTCAGACCTAGAGGCTCCTGCCCACCCTTTACCGAGACAAGTTCTGTTCACCTGAGGACTCTGTGCAAACAGCACTGCCACTGGGACACCTGCCTGACCAGCAGCTGAGGAAGCATCGGCCTTCCCTCCACTGTGCCATCTCACCTCCTGTGCCCCACCAGCTCTCAGATCACACGGCACTGTGCTTCTATTTTTGCTGTGGACTCAGATACCACTTTCTTTTTCAGCAGATGTTAAAATGAACATCCACATGTGTCCCAAGGGAAGGGAGTGGAGACCCCCTTGCAGAGGACACAGGAGTGTCTACCTAAGACCCAGAACTCCTACCAGGGGCTGGGAAGAGACAGTGCTCCTCAGTAGACTCTAATTTCCAAATGAAGCCAAAGCATTCTATCGACTAAGGCATTTCCATGTGGGGATACTGAGGCCACAACAGAGTGAAGAGGGAGGACTAGAGGTGCCCTCTAGTCCAGCAGGGAGGACTAGAGGTGAAACCTGAGACTTCAGTATTGGTTGGGTCCTCTGGGAAGCAGAGATCAAGACAAGAGATTTGTTGGGGTACACCTGTGGATGACGGGGGAGCAGGGCGGGAGCTGGCAGGGAAAGGCTTCAGAACACTAAGGAGACAGCCATGCCAGGAGAGGGGCAGGGGAACTTCAGCCTGCAGCGCAGCGCGGAGGAAGTCCTGGCCAGCTCAGTGGGAAGACAGCACAGCACGGCCTGCAGACTCGAGCCCTCGTGCTGCCTCCATGCTCAGCTGCAACCAAGACAGGGCCTGAAGGTGCCGGCAGCTGGAGGCTGTCACCTCACCGCACTTGCAACAGGTTCTCCTTTGAAGGGAACTCTGCAGTGATGTGCTCCTTGGCTGCCATGCCCCTGCTTCCTGGCTGTACGAGCCTTGGCCCCTGCTTCCCTAGATGGCCTGCTCTGGCTTGAACGGCATGTCCACCCACCTCCTCCCTTGCTCTCCCTGCCTGACCAAATCCCATCCATGCTTTCAGTCCAGCTCCCAGTCCTTTGGTGTGCAGCTACCCCATCTGCCCCAGTGGGGTGTGCTGAGCTCCGGGGACCCGGATGTTCCTCTAGCAGACAGTGAACTCCTTGAGGAGAGGCACGTCAGCTCTGTCTCCCAGGGCCTGGCAGAGCAGCTGGCACACAGGGGACGTCTGGCTGTGTCTTGTGGGTTAGATGTGGAAGGGATGGAGAAGCAAGAGGCACGAGTGAACGCACTGGAGTTTCTGGGGCGGGTGCTAAGCCTAGCTCTGCCAACTCACTAGCAGTCCCTAGCTTGTCTGAGCACAGTCCCCCAGCTGTGAGTATCACATGAGATACAGCATGAGATAATGCGGCCCAGAGCCGTCTCCGCCCGCCGTCCTCACTCCTTTCTCTCTGTTCACCCTAAACCCTCTCCCACGGGCCTTCCCCTCCACCACGCCACAAGCTCTCCGATGCCAGGTCCTCTCCTTTCTTGGCCTTTCAGCAGCATGACTTAATGATCACGCTGTCTTCCTTGAAGCCCCCTTCTCACTTGGTTTCCGGGATACCGGCCTGGCTTCTCACCTGTCTCTACTTCCACTCCCTGCCAGTCTTCCTGGTACCTCCTCATCCCCCACAGCATGCCCTGGGGCCTTTCCCTGTCCCAGCTCCTTCGCTTCCTGAGTGACTTCTTCAGTCTCTCTGTCTAAGCTCCATCCACACTCCCAGATTCACCTCTGGCTTGGGTTGCTCCCTTGAACCTCCAGGCATTTGGCTTCCACCAGCCTCCCTGACAGCCCCCTCGGGAACCTCACAGCCCCCTCCAATCCCCTCTCCAACACTCAACTCCCGTGCCTCCTCTCCAGCCTGCCCCTGCTTCAGGCTGCCCCACAGGCTGCTCAGGCCAGACACTTCTGGGAGTCATCTCTGACTCTTCTTCCCTCATACCCACCTCCACTCCATCAGGCCATCCTGTGGGGGCGACCTTCAGAACACACTCGGACTCTGCTCCCTCCTCACTGCCCCTTGCTGGCTCCTGCCTGCACTCCTGGACTTCCAGCTCCTACTCCTTCTGCTGCAGTCTGTTCTCATCGGAGCCTCCAGCGTCCTGCTGAAACTTAGGTCCCATCTCCCCAGCCTTTTAGGATAAAAACCAAAGCCCTTACAAGAGCCTGCAGAGGCTAGCTGAGCTGTGTCTGCCTGTCCCCTCTCGCCTCTTGGTCCTTTCTAACCTCATCTCCTACGAACCCTTTCATGGTCACTCTTCTCTACCAGCAGTGGCCTTCTCCATGTCCCTCTATCCCACTGGCACTCTTGGCTCTGGCCTTTGCACTCGCTGCCCCTGTGCCTGGCATCCCCTCCCCACCCCAGCTCATTCCTCACCGCCTTCAGTTCTTTGTTCAGATGGCACCTTCTCAGTCGGCCCACCCCGACCACTGCAGTGAAAGCTCCAGCCCTCCCTCATCCTCTGCTTCATCTTCCCTGTAGCACTTCATGCCTTCTATCATTTATTCTATACAGTGTTATTCTGGTGCTGTCCCCTCACAAGATCGTACGCTGCACAAGGGCAGGGATTTTTGTTGTTTTGCTCACTGACATATTAATGTTCCTGCAGCTCGGGAGAGTGTCTGGCAATAGTAGACACTCAGTAAGTGTTTGCTGAATGAATGCATGTAGAGCTCTTGGCATAGGTGCAGCATTCAATAAATGCTGCTGTCCTTGTCATTATTACTACTGGAAGGGGAGGAGGAAACAGTCAACTATGAAGTCAAGAGAGAGGCCCTAGACCCTCATACCATGGACGTCACTGGGGACTGGGCTCTCTCTGCTCCTCACTCCCTAAGACCTTCCTTCCCTCCCCTGTCTGAGCATGGCAGGAACCTCACATTGGCAGGCTGACAGTCACCTACAGCCAGAGTCCCAGCCCCACACCCTAGACCCCAGCCCCTCTGTGCCCAGCACCCAGCTAGCCCTTTGATCTCTTGAGAGGTGGCCAGAGAGAGCTAGGGTGTCCAACCACATCTGAGAAGAGATACCTGCAAGAGGTGGCAGCAGGCCCTATTCTGTACCCACACTGGGAAGGGCACCTGGGCTGGACAGCCCCTGGGAAGGGTGAATGCAGCCCACTGACTAAGTGTGTATCAGCCTGGTAACATCCGACCTGGCCACACAGGAAGCAAAGAAGGACATGCCCAAGCTTAGGTGGGTAGAGATGGCTGAGAGCTGTGGGCTCTCAGGGTGGAAGCCAGTGTCAGTGAGTCAGGAAGCTGGTCGAGAGGGCAGGACACAGGGCACAGGGCCAGGCTGGCTGTGGTAGGGGACAGGATATGGGAGGAGACGGGCATGGTGGTGCCCTGCACTGCAGCAGGGAACTGGCTGACCCTGAGAAGGACGATCCCAGAGGAGGCTGGGGGCCCAGGAGACAGCAGGGAGGGATCAGAGAGGCTCTGGAGGGCGGTCATCCTCTGCCCCTCATCCTCCCAGGCACCAGCAGGCCCCAGGCTTGTGCCCCTGACAGCTGCCCCCAGTAGCTCCCAAGATGAGGGACCCGGCTGATTACTGAGGGTGGGGACTAGGCCTCCAGCCTGGATACATTCTGGCTTTACAGGCCCCCTCCTCCCCACTAAGGAGGCATTTCAAGTCCTCTGCACTTCCTGGCTCTGTAGCTCTTGAAATCCTTCTTTGAGCCACGCAGTGAACACAGAAATGCTCACCCCACACCCCACCTTCTTTGGACGTCTCAGACTGCATTTAAAATAAATGGTCAGACAGTGTTTGTGAAAGCTTTGAAAACTATCAAGTGGCCCTTTGGAGGTTAGTGATCATCCCTGGTATCCACTGTGGCCCCCTCCAGAGTGCACGTCTTAAAAGCACATTGGATCCTGTTGCTGCTTAAACACGTCTGTTCTCTCCCACTGCACTTAGAGTAAAACCTGAGCCCCTCACTGTGGTCCTTTCAGCCACACAGGATCCAACCTTCTTCCAAGGAAAGCACCACACCCTCCTGGCCATTCCTCAAGGGTGCCCAGCTAAGCCCATACTCTTCGGGGCCTTCTGCCTGCACTCTGCTGCCCACCTCTTCCTGCGAGAAGCCTTCCCCACCAGCTGATCCCAACCAGCCCCTTGTTATCCTATTGCATTTCCTTTCCACTGTCTGGCTCTCCCTGTACACTGCCTGCCCACGAGGCCAGGGCTGTCATCTATTTTATTTCTATATCCCCAGAGTTAGCACAGTGCCAGATACAAAGTAGGACTTAATATTTGTTGAATGAATGATTGAATGAATGAATCCATATTCCCAATGTGCAGTGCTGAGATAATAATGAGAGTCATTTACTGACAGCTTAGCATGTGCCAGGAGCTCCTGCAAGTGCTTCGCAGGCATTGCTTTCATTTTATCTCTATAATCACCCAACATGAGAGGTGCTATTATTATCCCCGTCTTGAGGAGGACACATGAGGATACAGAAAGAGGTGAGGTCGTTTGCTGGTGGTCTACTCAGTAGCAGAGGCAGAAGAGGATGGTGTGTGGGCTGTCCAATTCAGTGCTCACCTTCCAAGCACTATGTTAAGCTGCCTGGTGAGATGGTTGCTGAGGGGGTCCAAGCATCAATGGTTGCCTGGACTGCACAACCTTCAGTTCATCAGGAGTCTTTTCCCATCCCACTCCAGGATTCCCCTGTCAGCTTCAGCCAGGCAGCTGCAGAAGGAGGTGGGGGTCGGGGACAGTATCCCAACCACTCCACCGCCCCAGTTCTCCACCCAGGCTGTGGGCAGGGCGGCAGGGACCTCAGTTCATTCAGAGACTCACAGACCCATCCCACACAGGGTCATTCATTTTGGAGAAGACTCAGACGCTTTGATGTGCCCCTCCCTAGAGTGGTCACCAGCCTCTACTCACATACCCTAGGGTCAGAGGGCTCCCAAACCGCCTTGGCAGCCTGTACCGTCTTAGAATGTCCCATCTGCCCAAAGAATCTCCTTAAACCAGGCCTGAAACCCTCTCCTCCTCTTCCTCCTACTTAGGTCCACACAGAACAAGCTCATTCCCAGCAGATGTCACAGAGCAAGCCTCCCTGGCCCCTACCTCCTTTTGGAGTTATGGTCTCATGTGACTCCGTTCCAGCTTCCCTCACCATCCCACCCTCTTGGTTCTCCCAAAAAAGGCAAGGGTAGTTCTTCCAGTCTCCACACTAGGCCTTCCAGACTGCCAAGATGCAGGAAGCGGAAGTGGATCGGGGCTCCCTTGGCCCTCACCCTGCCAGGTGAGAAGCCCAGGAGGACAAGGCAAGCAGAACCTCTGCCCCAGAGCCCTGAAGACACCAGAACAAGGGGGTGGAGCCAGGGAAACTCTGGCCTCTGGCTTAGGTTTATGGTTTGGCCTGTCCTCTCTGCCCTTCCAGGATGAACTCGGACCCCACTGGACCCTTCATAACCACATTGAGGAGAAAGTATCTGGGCCTCTGGGAGAAACCACATCAGCCAAGACTGGGACTTGGGGACTGAGGCTAGGTAGGACCTAGGACTGAGCAGGATGGTGGTTGCTCTGCTAAACCAGCTGCTGCTGTCCTCATTCCCTTAGAGCCAGAGGGACCCCCTCCCCAATTCCCTAATGTCCTGAGGCCAACTCACCAGCTCACTTCCCCTCTCCTCCCCTTCTGAAGACCCACCCAGGTTCTTCAAACCCCTGGCTGAAGAAGCCACACCTCCAGTTCTCTCCCTCGGGGTCACTCCCTGTTCCCTCAGTTCCCGGGTACACACTTTGTCCCAGGCTTGTATTCCCCCACAGAGCTCCACTTCCTCACTGGCCGCTGCCCCTCAGGCATAGCTGGGCAAGGATGCCCAGGGTCCCTTGGCCCCACTCCTCTGCCCACGGCGCGCACACCCCCGCCCCTTCCCAACTTCAGAAAGTTTGGCCTGGGGCTCCCCAGCTCCGTGCAGGCCCGGGCCCAGCCCCGCCTCCTAGCCTGGCTCCCCGCGCCTGACCTTCATCGCTCCCGGACCAGAGACCACCCCACCATGACCTGCTCCTCCCTCCCCAGCCCCCAGTCTGCCCGCGGCCCGGGTCTCCGGATCACACACCGCCCCCGCGCGCAGCCCTCTAGGCCTGCCTGGGAAGAGGGCACCGGGGGACAGATGCCCCGCTTCAGGTGACCGCCAGCGCCGGGCACGCACGCGGCCCGTGCCCCACTTCCCTGGCCGGGGCCGTCCGCAGCCCCGCCAGGACCCCGCGCGCCCCCGCGCCCGGCCTGCCCGCCCGCCCGGCAGTCGGAGCACCTCGCCCGCCTCGTCCTCCTCCAGGCCGCTGAAGCTCCACACCACCAGGCCCTGCAGCAGCAGGATGGCCAGCGCCGTGGCGATCGCCAGCTTGTAGCGCCGCACCAGCTTCTGCACTCGCGCGCTCGCCACCATCTTCCTGCCCCGGACGCGGGGCGCGCGCCCAGCTCTGCAACCCGGCCGCGGGCGCGCGCACGGGCGCGCAGCCGAGCCCCCCGCCGGGGAGGAGGGCCGGGCGCGCGCCGGGGCGGGGCCTCCGGGGCGGGGTCTGCCGCGCCCCGCCGGCTAGGGGCGGAGCTGGGCCGGCGGAGCCTCCCGCCCCGACGCCGACGCCGGGCTGCGCGCACGCTTCCTGCACTCGCCTCCCCGGCCGCGGCTCAGTCCGAGCGGGTCTCCCGGGTGTGCTCATCTCTTCCTGGACGGCAAACCCATTGCACTGCGGTGCGGAGGGTCTGCGGCCCGACCTCTCTTGCCTGGTGTCGAGAGTCTCGGGGAACTCCGCCCCGCGCGGGGTATGCTCTCGGCTCCAGGGACCCAGGAATGCTAGAGCCCCGAAACGAGTTGGGAGAGGTGTGTGAGTGGCATAGCCCCTGCTTAAAACCTGAAGGCCGCGCCCATGGGGCAAAGCTTAAGCCCTTGACTGGCATTCGAGGCCCTGCACAAATCCTTTCCTCTCTCCCTCTCATCCTAAGCATCTTCAGGCCTCTGCCAGAGTCGTGGTTTTCAAACTCTAACGTGCTTCAGAATCACATGGAGGGCTTGATGAAACAGGTTCTAGTCCCCACCCCCCAGAGTTTCTGCTTTGGTAGATCGTGAGTGGGGCCTCAGAATTAGCATTTTCAGCAAGTTCCCAGGTGATGCTGATGCTGCAGAGAACCACTGGACTTTGGCGCATGCTATCCCCCTATGGGGCCCAGCGCCCTAATGGCGGTCCCCCTCCCCCACTCCCATCAATGGCATCTTCTGTGCTTCCCCAGCCCAGTACAGTGAGCACTGATGACTAATCTGGTCGTGATTTCTCTAGGATCATGCCTTAATCACTTTTGAATGCTTAGCAAGTGAAACCCAACTTCCTGTCTAACCCGCGTCCCTAACATTTTTTGAGAGCCTGGCATGGTCAAGCACCGCGTTAGACAAGGTCTGAGTACCTGTGACCCTCCCCTGAACCTGGCAGGTCCACGGAGTGAAGGAAGGAGAGAAGAGGTAGAGCAGTGCCCACTAGAGCAAGGCGAATTATCAGCCAGTGAAGCCAAGCACTGTGGGAAGGAAGTAATAAAAATAGCAAAACCAAGATGGGTTTAAAAAGTTTGAAAGTTTGAAGGCAGTGATGGAGGATTTTGGAAGTTGGCAGGAGATTAGGTTGGTGAGGAAATTCTAAACTGTGATGAGTACAGGAGATGCAGTCATTTGATGGCACTTAAATAAAACCTGCTTTAATCATCTCCTGAGGCTTTGGCATTTGCAATCATTCCATTCCTCAGCGTTTGTTAAGTGGGAGAATTGTAAACAATGTTTCCGATGACAGTTTGGCTACTTAAGAGAACCTACACTTCAAGGATTTTGGAAAACATCAGTTGACATGCAAGCAATTGATGTTATTAATAATTACATATTGATCTTATGTGCTCATTAGATCAGGTGCCCAAGGGACCTCTACCTGCCAATGCTTACTCCCCAACAATGAAAATAGCTTTATTTTTCACTGATATATGTATATATATATATATATAATATATTTTCATATAACATTTAAACCCTAAAAAAATGAGGAAAAAGTAAAGGTCACCTGCAATCCCACCCCCTGAGATAATCAACATTTTGGTGACTGTCCTTTCCCCTATCTCTTTATGTGTACATAATTTTGCATGGATGGGGTCACATCATATACATCATTTTTTTTTTTTTTTTTTTTTTTGAGACAGAGTCTCGCTTTGTTGCCCAGGCTAGAGTGAGTGCCGTGGCGTCAGCCTAGCTCACAGCAACCTCAAACTCCTGGGCTCAAGCAATCCTCCTGCCTCAGCCTCCCGAGTAGCTGGGACTACAGGCATGCGCCACCATGCCCAGCTCATTTTTTCTATATATATTAGTTGGCCAATTAATTTCTTTCTATTTATAGTAAAGACGGGGTCTCGCTCTTGTTCAGGTTGGTTTCGAACTCCTGAGTTCAAACGATCCGCCTGCCTCAGCCTCCCAGAGAGCTAGGATTACAGGCATGAGCCACTGCGCCCAGCATATACATCATTTTTAAACATAGAAACTTATTAAGTATTTCTGTCTCCTCCCACTCCATGTTAAGAGTCTGGCTTGCTTGCTTCCTTCCTAACCAACCTTCCACCTTTCTCCATAACAATTCTTAAACACACACACACACATTTTATTTTTGGAGGGAGTCACTATATTAAATTTAATTTTTTTCTATTGGGGGTATTATTATATTTAAAATGTTGAATAATATTACATATACTTTTCTGTATCTTGCTTTTCTCCCTTAACCATAAATACATAGTAGAAATTCCCCAAGTTGGATCTGACAGGTGTAACTCATTCTTTTTAATGGCCGTATAATATTCTGCTTCCTTCTGGAATGGGTATTTGCTTGGTTTCCAGGGTTTTGCCACTGCCACACAGCTATGATGAACATGCTTCCATGCCTGTCCCTGTGTACTGATGCTTTTACTTCTATGTTAGAGTTTCCCAGGAATGGGATTACTGGGGGAAAGGGAATTTTTAGTTTTAATAGGTACTGCCACCAGCTGGGCACGATGGCTCACACCTGTAATCCTAGGACTTTGGAAGGCCAAAGTGGGAGGATCACTTAAGGCCAGGAGTTTGAGACTGGCCTAGGCAACATAGTAAGACTCATTTTGATAGGAAAGAAAGAAAAAAAAAAAAAAGAGCTGGGTGAGGTGGTGCACCTGTAGTCCCAGCTACTCTGAGGCTGAGGTGGGAGGATCGCTTGAGCCCAGAAGTTCAAGGCTACAGTGAGAGCCTCTTAAAAAAAGTGACAGAGTGAGACCCTCTTAAAAAAAAAAAAGGAAGAGATTTACCAGATTGCTTTCCCAAGATGCTGTGACAATTCACATTTCCAACAGTGTGTGAGGCTATTGTTCTCCTGCAGCCTTTCCAGTAGCAGGTGTTATTCTGTTTTTAATTTTTGCTAATCTGATAGGTGAGAAGTGACCTCATTGTTTTTTAATTTACAGTCCTCTGCTGGGCAGTGTCTGGTAATTGGTTTATTGACTTGTTGTTGTTGTTGTTTGCTTTGTTGTTGTTGTTTTTTATCTCAAACTCCTTGTGAGGGAAAGTTTTATTGACTGGGTTGCTCTTTGGCAGTTGCCTCTTCATGTTCTCTGCAAATAACCTATGGCTATTGCATTGTCTTTTTCTTATCAATTTTTAAGAGTATTTATCTATTTAAAATTTTCCTCAATTTATCATTGCACTTTGACTTAAGGCCATTCTAAAATTTTTAACTTTTTTCTAATCAAATATGTTCCTTTTTGTTTTATGGCTTTTCATTATCTGTTTTAATTTAGTAGATCTCCCTAGTTCTTGATGATGTATATGGTTTCATATATTTTATCCTATAATTTTTATTTTGTATTTTTTTTCATGTAACTCTTTAATCCATCTGGAATTTGCTTTTACATATGGTATGAAGTAGGGGTTCAGGAGTCTTTACTAGTACATATTATGGGGTACATGTGATGTGTAGGCATACAACGTGTATTGGAAATCTTTATTTAGCTTGTATCTAAATAAAGCTTCTCTCAGTATCTGTTAATACTTGGATTTTATTTTTTTTCTTTTTTTCTTTTTTTTCTTTTTTATTTTTTTTTATTTTTACTTAAACCTAAGGTATGAAAGATTTTATTATTTTTAAACAACAGATTTGTTATTGAGGTATAACATGCACAGATCAATTTAGATTTGACTATATAAAAATGCAAGGTTCGCTGGTCCCCTCAGTGCCCTTTTCAGATTCCCCTCTAACTTCCATTCTGCTTTTTTCTTTCATTGTAAAACTTGAAAATACAAAATGGTTCCTCAGAAAATCAAAATGGTAAAACATTCTTTTTTTTTTTTTGAGACAGAGTCTCACTCTGTTACCCGGGCTAGCCGTGGCATCAGCCTAGCTCACAGCAACCTCAAACTTCTGGGCTCAAGTGATCCTCCTGCCTCAGCCTCCCGAGTAGCTGGGACTACAAGCATGCGCCACCGTGCCCTGCTAATTTTTTCTATGTATTTTTAGTTGTCCAGCTAATTTCTTTCTATTTTTTAGTAGAGATGGGGTCTCGCTCTTGCTCAGGCTGGTCTCGAACTCCTGAGTTCAAACAATCCACTCGCCTCGGTCTCCCAGAGTGCTAGGATTACAGGCTTGAGCCACCGCGTCCAGCCAAGAAAGCATTCTTTAGTGTTAAGTCGGTTGCTTGTATGATATATTCCTCCTCATGTGAGGGAATTCTCCTTTCCGAGCTATTTTATGAGGCAAGGACGCTGAATGTTTTCAAATGCATCTTCAGCAGCAAGAGTCCTAGCTTGGCTCAGCCCCAGAGGACATGGAGGCCGCTGCAGGAACGCTCCAGGCTGCGCCTCCAAGCGGCTCCTCGGGCTCTGTCTTGCTGCCTTTATGTGGTTTCTGCTTATCTGGCCAGTTCCTTCCAGGTGACACTTGGCTGTCTGCTGGCCTCATCCTGGCTTTACCCCTGAATGCTACCTTTCAGGGCACTCTGCCTGCCCACACCCAAGCCATCTCCCGGTGCCCGTTTGTCAGGACGTTCTGACATCTATTGCAAAGATCATGTGGGTTTCCTAATGTGGCTTTCTAAAGTGGTTTTTCTATTGAGATAATGAATTATTTCAAAAATAATTTCCACATATTAAAACATTTCTGGGCTGGGCATGGTGGCTCACGTCTGTAATCCTAGCACTCTGTGAGGCCAAGGTGGGAGGATTGAGGTCAGGAGTTCAAGACCAGCCTGAGCAAGAGCAAGACCCTATCTCTACTAAAAATAGAAAAATTAGCCTGGCTTCATGGTGCGGCCTTTAGTCCCAACTATTCGGGAGGCTGAGGCAGGAGGATCCCTTGAGCCCAGGAATTTAAGGTTGCAGTGATCTAGGATGATGCCACTGCACTCTACACAGAGTGACAAGAGTGAGACCCTGTCTGAAAAAACAAAACAAAAA